CAAGCATGCAAGAAACACATGCATTCAATATCAGCACAGTGCACACACAACAGTTATGGATTCATTTACACTTTACAACATTACTATTATTTTCTTTCCCTTCAATATTGGCAGCATGACTTGCTGAGTTCAGTGGCACAATCTTATGACAGCAAGTTTGTTCGGGTTCGCAACCATACAAACTTTGCACGTTTTGCTTCAAAAACAAGCCTTTATACATTTCTTTCATGATTTTCAATTTCTTTTTAAAAATTTATTGTCATTTATCTTGAAAATCTTGCCAATTCGGTGTTAGCAATGTCAATGCACCTTCCCTATTCCGCACAGCTCAAGCAAGTTCCACCCAAAAGTAGTAGTGGTATCAGTAGCTGGCGCCTTGCCATGTCAAATGTAGCTGAATATGTGAAAACAGTGACATATTTATTTAAAATCTTGAGTCCAATGAGCCTACCCTCTCTGCCTCTCCTTCCAGCATTTCTTCAAGCACCTTCAATTTTCGAAAATGACCTTCCATCATTATTTTCCACTTCCGTCCGAGCAATGAACTTGTAAGCTGACCACTAGTTAATGCTCTATCATCTTGCTGTTGGGTGCTTGTAGCAAAAAGATAATATTAAAGGAAAAAACTAACACCGCAACACCAAACACCCGTCTTGTTGGTTTCTTTTGGTCCTGCCTGGTGACAAAGGCTCTTTCTTTACGCAATATCATCAGTATTCCTCTTCTAATCTTGAAGCCCAGATGCTTTACAAATTGGCTATGAATGATACTAAATTATTATATCAACTGAGAAGCGCAAATCACGATAGTTCGCAACAAATGAGGCCAATTATTCCAACACGACATCAAAAAAATAGACGGGGTCGCCTGTCTATTTTTTGGGCTGTTTTTCTACATATAATGGCGCAGATAAACACTCCATTAATGCCGCATTTGCCGTTGGTGAAACTCGTTGGCTATTTTTCTGGCTGATACTTTTTCACGCCGGCGGATGTTTTTTCGCCTGGTTGGTGAAACTCGTCGGCTGGTTTTTGACAGAAAAATTGCGCCGGGCTGCTATTTTTCTGTTGGTAAAACTGGCCTCAGTTTTATTTTCTAGATGACCACAGAATACGTTGACTACATTAGTGTATGTTTTTATTTTTATCATTTGTTCTGTTTTACTTTTGTTTCTGTCGATGAGCCACTGATGTCTGTGTGAGCTTTATCTGGGCCATGGGAGAGCTACTAAGACATCCGTGTGATGTCAATCTCCTGAGCAGCTTTCGAGCCACTTTGTGTGCCGCTCTTTAGTCAATCAGTCATTCATCCGTGACCACTGGCGGGGGAGTGAAGCGAGGACGGAAGTGGAGCGATGGAGCGGTGGTGATGGAGCGATAACGGTGGCGGTGGCGATGGCGATGGTAGCGGCGACAGCGACCTTTCGCAGTCGGCGACACTGTTCACATGTCGGTTACCGTCAGGTCACCACGCCTCCGCCGCCGCCCCACAAAATGGCCGCACGCACCGGTTTCCTGTTTCGCTTCTGTCGGGTCTGTGAACATGAGACGTTAGCGCTGCTGGGCAGTCCGCTGAGCTCGTGGCGGCCGCGGTGCCGTGTCGGTGGGCCACCACGTGTCGCACGTGGCGCTGCGCTGTGCACGTGTGCGCGGGAGGCGCCGCGGGGCTCCTGGCGGCCCGCCCACCCGACCCGCAGTGCAGCCACACCTGTGCACTCACTGGTCGAGGCGTCAGGAGGTGCCCCCCGGCTGCAGGCGGGCAGCCATTTTGTCGTCCGCCGGCCGCTGCTGACGATGATGGTCAGTTGCAGGCGCTTGATTGGCCGTAAGGGACCGGGCCGGGTCGTAAAGGGTGGATAGTTCTCAGGGAGGGGGAGCTACTGCGGTCCGCACAGTGTTATGTGGGGACTGGGGAGGCGGCCATGGCGGTTGTGTGTCTGTCCGATACAACAGAGAAGTGCGCAGTTTGTGAGATTCTGGGAGAACGGCATAATTGTCGTGCGCGTTGGATGTCTTAGCAAAACTGGTTTAACTTCAAGGCCGTCGATGAGTTTTTGCTATATTCAGTATTGAAATGTTCTAAATATGAAACGCTTCACTCATATAATTTCAGTTTACGTTAGTGTTGCCCGCTATCGGATGATACGATGCTCCTTTGAACTCAAACAAAACGATAAACTGAAACTGAAACTGAAGGCAACTCTGAGGGCACTTCATTCATCAGAGATCGGATCCGGGGTTTCGCGGAACCTGTTGCACCGAAGCGCCCACTCTGTGGCGGCCTGCAGACTGTCCCTTTGGGCGGCCCGCGGACCGCTGCGTTCACCCATGTGTGCAAACGCTCGCATGTCTTATCGGAGAGTGGTGCACCGCGCCGCGGTGATGGCGGCCAATTTTCGGATGACGGCGGATCTGGCGGGTGGTCGGGTGTCCCTCCCCTCCCCCTCACCCTGTCTGGGTATATGGGTCACTGTGTGAACCGTGTTGTTTAGATGCTAAGGGAAGGACGGTGAAAACCGAATTACAACAGTTATTGTGCTGTTTGGTTTTGGCTGAAAATGGACGTGATGAAGTTATTGCCTAGCGCGTGCTTACAGAAATGAAAAGGTGTGCTTTTTTGGCGAAAGAAAGAGGCCAGTATCATGCATTCACTTATATTGCAAAATTACCGGTCATGCATAGACGCTGACGTGATTGGGCAGGAATGAAAGTATCTTGTTCATGCGATTTAAAATGATATATTTTATATTTTAGTGCATCCAGTAACATTCATTGGCAAATAACATGTGCAAATTTACTTTTTTGACAGGCTCAGACCCAACCGATCTTATTTTCAAGGCTATATTTATCCACTGTAATTCATTTTTCCTTTGGAAGCTGTCGCCGATTTATCCGACGAGAATTTAAGCAGTCAGCACGTTGTTAGTAAGCGGCTTTCATGGGCAGCAGTGCAGCGGTACACAGTAATCTCAGCTAATCATACACGTTTTATCGGCAGTCGCCATCGCGCTAATCCGGAAACTCCGCACGGCGCCATGTCTGGCAGCGTAGCCGGCAAATTCAGCCGGTTATCTGGTCGATTAATGAAGACTGATGCCGCGTCACCGGTGTCGGCTTAGCGGACCTGGCGGGAGATCGGTCCGCGAATCAAGGACAGATGGCTGTGGTCAGGAGCAACCTCCTGTGTAACGTGTTGGTGCGGGACGGCCACACCTTGCTGTGGAGACACGGGGATTGTGTCTGTAAGTGAGAAGGTTGCTGGAATTTTTGGCTCGATCATCTTTTCCACCGAAACAGGTTTAGAAATTTGATGAAAATCTAAAAAATATCAATGCCCTCGAAGACCTGGACGTTCATCAAGCTTTATTGTCAAACGTTTTTAGCGCTGTGACTTATTATAATCCTAACTGTAGTGCTCAGAACATCTTCAGGACATGATCCAGCAATGATATAAAGTCATCCTTATACTTTGACCTCACACGGCCCAACATGAGCGCCTGATGAACAGTGAACAAGGAAGAGGGAGTGGTTAGCGAAAGAATCGTGCATTTTTCCAGTCAGCACATACACGACACAGACACAAAAATCACGTGATCACCTGGCCATCTGGAGTGCTGGTCCACGTGATCATCAAACCAGGTGGCGGCGACGTCACGTGACCACTCGGCCAGCCCCAGTCTCAAGTCATGTGACAGTCTGCAATTTGCAGACTGCGAGCAGGCCAACCGGCCAGCGCTCGAGCGACCAGCGTGACTCGAGTGTGTTTCCTTTGGTGGACCGGTGTCGCGGAAACCCACTACAGATATCGCACAATCAGGGCCCCATTGTATTCCTTGCCGACTATTTTTACGGGCGCCGACATATTTTGACTGAAGTTGGCGTGATCCCCACTTAGCGCGTGGGCCTGCACGTGTCGTTACGGGAAGCGGTCTGTCCATGAGCTCACCGGGCCGGGGCACGCCCGTTTTAATGTGAGCGTGCAAACCCTCTGGATGCCACTTGGTGAGATCAGCACTGCAAGTGTGCTGAGGAGATACGCTACAAATTGGAATATTTAGACGAATGTTTGGTTAATATTGATGCACTATATTAATGTTTTTTATAGAAAATTTTGAAGCTAAGGATTAAAGTTCAGCTATTTCAATTTAAGTTTACCTTTGCTATTGCATGAATGAACTCAGTCTCCTGCCTGCGAGTGGAATAGCTGTCCAAGCATCAGCGGCGGTCGACACTAATGCCATTGATTAGACTCGCTCCTGGAACTCCGGTGAATCGCTCATACAAGTCCGAGCAATTCTCCGAACGCTGCCAACGGGTAAAACCTCGGCAGCTATCTGAACTATCACTATATTTCGGCGTATCAGAACCGTAGTCTGCTGACAGCTGAGTTTCCAGCTCATAATAAAAGGTACAAAACGGGTCGCCAGACAACTCAGCGCCGCGACATCGTGCTCAGAAACTTTGTGCTCTGCATAGCCGCCATGTGAACTGTGAAATCTTTTCATTTTTAATCCATCTTATCACCACCGCACCTAAACGCGCGTGTGACCTCTCCAAGGCTCTTCGTCATGAAACTCTTAAGATAAGTTCACACGCTTTTTGACAAAGGAAAATATGAGCTCGCGATAAGCAGATTTTCTTGCGGCAGGTCATGGCCATTGGCCAAAGCAGCACAATCAACGAGGAAGACTGCAATACGATATCGAACACTATACGCGCTCTCATACACACCGGATATGGATCGCCTCAGTCACAGCCTTCAGTTCGCTCTGACCTAATGCAAAAACCAATAACACGACCAACGACACTGCAACTGCGGCCATCCAACCCACTGTGGCAGAGGACGATAAGGCGTCTCTAATCGTGCTGTCATTGGTCTGCCTGATCTAAGCTTCACACCGCTGATCTAGAACTGTATGATCTACGAGTACTCAGGAGTCAGGACCATTAGTTTGCTATCGTACCTCGCGTTTGACTGTCTTATTCGTTCCGTTTCCACAGAGACAGCTCCGATAGAAGTGAACACCGAGCCGAACCAAAAGTTTCGGGTGGCGTGTTACGTGGACCCCAGCCACCCTCGGACGGAGGGCCGGACTGCCGAGGATCTCTACTTCACCAGGGATTTCACCGGCGGCACGGGCGAGGCCAAACAGGCCTTCAGCGTGGTCGTGCCCGACTCCCAGGCCAAGGTCTGTGGCAGGGGTGGCGATAGCGGGGATGATAAGGTCATTTATGGTGTCATCTAGCTCTGGAGCTTTTCAGCCAGCCCTTAGACAAACCCAACTATAACTATACCAATTTATCTCATCTGGCAACTTTAAAATCTAAACCAATGACATGTTGTATGTGTCTCTGTTTCCATTGCACAAGTACCGAGTTTATGTATAATTAGGCATAGTAATTTGGCTATAATACAGTTGTTTATGTAACCGGGAATGTCCATTGCCATGCCAGCCTTCACGTATTCCCGACACTAACTCCGCTAACGTTATATAACTCTCATTCCGGAATTTTCTCTGTCGACAGAGGTACAACTCGACGACTCTGGTGATTGAGGACCGTCTGGAGACTGCCGTCCATTACACCTACTCGTGCCGTCTGAGGAGCGGTCCGGACAGCCCCGTCGGCAGGAGGGACATCACACTCTGCTCCAGCTCCGTCAATGTCGGATGTGAGTGTCACTTTCAATGTCGGCTGTGTCACTGTCAATGTCGGATGTGAGTGTCATTTTCAATGTCGGCTGTGTCACTGTCAATGTCGGATGTGAGTGTCACCGTTAAACGGAGTTACTTGTGGGTGTGACAGTACATAGCTCCACTGACACAGATTGATAGATGTGATGTGATGGATGTGATGACGATGTTGTAATGCAGAGTGTGGGCAGTATGACATTCTAAGCTCCAAATGACGCCGATTGATGGGTATATGATGTGACGACGGTGGATGTCAGTATGTGATGGTGAAGGGAAGCCGCCACAATAAGGCTGCTGGGGACGTATTCACTCGCATGGCAGCAGAGTATAGGATGATATCTCTGAACCAGGCGGGCGAATACCTGAATACCTTACCTTCTAGTTTATGGTTCCGCCTCAGGATTGGGAAACAATAATGGTATCAAAACGGATTGGTGGCGTTTGCATGGCGTTATATAACTTGCATCCACTCGAGACATGATTCCATGTTCTGAGTTGGTATAGCTGCGTGGCAATTATGTCCTTTTTGTGGGAAATTCGTTGCTCTTGCAGTAAAATGCAGTACGCTTGCCAAGAAATGCATGAGCCGTATTCCTGAAATTTTATGTCTGCAATGAGTAACGGAATGAACGTTAAAATGTTTGTTAGTCGCTGGCTTTGTCGCCTGGTAAGGAAGTAAGAGTTGTGCCAGACTTGCTCGACAGCCAGTTTGGAATTCATGACAAATGTTCTCTCGCCCATTGTCCTCCCCTGACCCGACTAACAATAGTTCGCTTCAGGTCTGTATCTGGCCTTGCATCGTGTCTAACGAAACGGTACACAGGTGGCGAATATGTTATGACTGAATAGATTTCGCCGGTATTTGGCATAACGTCACCAAGGACTGTCAATAATGTTCGGAGCTTCGTGAAGTCGTGAACGTTCGTCAGCGTCTATTTATCGCACAAATCACAGCTCCGTGATTTAACTGCTATCTTAAATGCACCTGTTCCCAATCGGAGTGGGCGGTCCATAGCTATCAGACGCAGAAATCTTATCGGGCAGACGGGACAGGGAAGTCATTACACATGCGACCTTTGAACCAAGCGGCAGAGCTCCACTGTATGGAGTGAGACGCACGTGATTCGTGTAAATCATTTGAGAAGTCATAGACCTCTGTACACGGTGGTGTACAGAGGTCTATGGTGAAGTTCAAAAGTTTGCTAATTTTTGCGGGCTTATCCAGAAGTGCCAGCTGTCATGGTGAAGCAACGCGTTATATAACCGAACCATGTTCGGAACTTTTATTTCGGGACTGATCACGGCAATATTTAAAGATTTGAAACATGCCTAAAATAATTTATTGCAATAGTGTGGCAAGTAAAAATTGACGTCTTAAAAATCCCTCATCGTTCAGCGCAGGTTCGCCGAGCGAATGACCTCAACAAAACGAATGGGCTTATGCTTACAAGCTTTAGCAGAAGCTAACTACTACCGAAAATATGATCTTGTTGAGTCAATTATGGATTTAAACGTAAAAGAGTTAACTGTAAGCCTAGGTCAAAATCCCTCAGGTCGGCATTCTACATGCTCAATGACTGAGCCGGCTAAGTCCTTTACAACAATGCAGCGGACAGCCGTACCATTGGTTTTGTTCTCGCGAGCAGTGTCAGATAGAGTTCCCTGTGTAGACCGGCCGGCGGGACCGCTGCCCCGCGCAGTACCCCACTGGTGTCGCCATGCCAAGGTCACTCTGCCGCCGCCGCCGCCACCGCCGCTACTGCCGGACCCGACGGGCCGGACGGGCCGCCGTCGGAAAACCGGTTTGGAAAGTCGCCGCCGTGATGAAATTGTGTCACGTCCGAAATGGAGAGATGTTTGGGAGGAATGAGCGAAAAATTGTGAGATGTTTCTCTGACAGTGGCTCAGGCTGTGAGAGGAGTTTTCTTGATCCTCGTTGTGCCACCGAATCATGTCTTGTTGCAAGAGGACTTACAGCACGTTGGACGAATTACATGGTCTAGCGTCACATCTCTGGGATGCTCGATTGATTTGATTTGTTTTCCCACTGGTCTCTGGTGTTGACACGATATGTCTGTGCTGACATGCCGTTCAGTCTGCACGGTGCTTGCGTCATGCATGGTCCGCCAAAACACCTTGGCCATGGCATATCCTTCCATCATGTACCGGTATAATCCGCTGCATGCCACCGACTCCGCAGACCACGCCGTGGGGAGGTTTGGGGCTATTTGACACTGTGATGTCTGCATCCGTCTGACACTTCTGTCTGCCCACCAGATCCTCCGCTCGATGTGAAGAACTTCAGCTGCATCGTCAACAACTGGAACAACATCACCTGCAAGTGGAAGCTGCAGTACAACGCCATCAAGTCACAGTACCAGCTGCAGTACTTGCTGAAACCGTCCTATGGGTGAGTGTTGAGCCAGCTATCTTACTTTTCATTGAAACTCAGTAATCCTTATCACTTTTTTTCGAAGTACTCTTTCCCAAATCACCTGCATTTTCTCATCAAAAATTCACCGTAGTTAGCTATAGAATAAGTGGTGCTGCATTTGCTGATGCATGGAAGGCGGTGATGAAACATATATGTATGATATAAACACAGTGTGGCTCATCTAAGAATTTGAAAAAAGAAACTGGTATGGGGAATGAGTAAAAATGAAATTGTTATTCTTCTCGACATCTTACGAAAGCACATTTTTAACGCATTGGATAGAAAATGAAATGTGTCTGATGAATATCCTTTTTGCCAGCACTTCAGTCATTCCGAAAGAGACTGCAGTTTTGTTCTGTGGCGCTCTATTTAGACACGTGGCGGGCAAATATGCCTTGTTGTGTGCCGATGAGCCTCCGGACGCCCGGGCCGGGACTCTGAGAGGGAGAGCCGGCTCTGTTGTGTGCAGGATCAGCTCCATCTGTGTCAGTAGTAATCGGTAGGCGGCCGCGGCCAGTCCCACCCTGCAGACATACCGCCGATGGATGGTGGCTGCCCCTGCCACTGCCCCTCGGCCAGTCCCACCCTGCAGGCCCTCAGCCGATGGATGGTGGCTGCCTCGGCCGGCCATTTCGGAGATGAGCTGGACCCTCTGGGTGTGGTTAGCGCCCCCCGCTGACCAGCGTCTCGCCCTCCAGACACCCGGCATTGCCCGGGACGCCGTTTGTTAAAATATTCGCTCGTGTCCGGGCATAAATTGCTGAGACGGCTCAGATGCAGTTTAACTTTGTGTAATGCTCCCCGCGAGGCCGGGAAGATTGGTAGCTGGGGTCGTTCTCTGCACGGTCACGGGGGATTGGTATACCTGGAGGCGGTAACCACTCGGCGCTCACGTCAGGTGTATTAGACCAGCTTGAAATGGTACCCTTCTTTTGGAATGAGAGACAAAATATTTCTAATTGACCCGGTCCCTAAACCTTTCGTCTTTAGCCAACCCTCCTAGCCACCGTTTCATCCATAGGATTCCTTCACTGTGCAAGCACCTGTCGATGAAACGTTGTGACCCTTATCATGGTATCACTGTAAAGGGCGGATGTACGGCAGCCGTCACCCCCTAAACGGGTCACGGCTCGACCCATTGGGAGTGGGGGGGGGGGGGGTGGTCCACTGTTCACTGTCCGCGAGCTGTCAGTGCCCGGAGCTCACGACCCGTTAACTGCGGTGGCACGTTTGCGGCTAACCTGATGGTCGATTTCGCGCCGCCCGCTCCGCCCAAATCACCCTAATTGGATTTGACAACGAGTGCGAAAATAGGCTAACGTCACGATTCCGATGTGATGCTGCCATTTAGCTTTGTGCTGCAGGCTATATCTCACGATAAAATCAATTATCAAGGGATTCCGTGAGAGGAAAACTGGGAACAATTCCTATGTTTTAATATGATCACTGCGGCGAACATGATACAAATCAACCCTAAAGTAAAGGCATTTTTCAATATATAGCCTAGCCAGGGCTGCCGTTGCATCACGTGATGAAGATCATTTTGATGTACCTATCTTGTTGCGATTCATCAATTTCGAACACTTAAAGACAACCATCCGGAATACCTTGTTCCTTATTTGAGTGCAAGCCGACTCTTTTTATATTTACCTCAATTTAATTGTTTTTCTAAACTAATTGTTTGATCCTGATTTGTAGGCATTTTTCCAGACGAATGCCTAGGTAGTCCAGCGAGTTTTTCCTCTAACACCTCCAAAGCGGTCTGACATGCTGCTTTCTGACGCGTTTTTATTCCAATTAATCCATTGTCGTAAAAGTTTTTGCCGCTCTTTTTTACGCCTTAGCCTCGACTGAGACCGACGACACTGCTTACATAAGTGCTTCCTTGCCGTAGCTGAGATGTCCGATCTCTGATGTTTGCATCAATCGCCGGTTGTCAGTGATGTTTGACCTCCCGCGGAGTGAACCCTTTGGAGGCGGACTCGCCAGGTCACCCAACGAAAGGCTCGTGTCAGTGGCGGGCCGGATCCGAGTCTTGTTGAGGCCACTCGTCTTTGACGTCGTGACAAAAGGCTACTCATGCCCTCTGACACTAGTGTTGCAGCTAGACAGCTTCTATGACTGCACCAGTCATCGTCCCGTCCCGTCTAGACCAGCTCTGGTCCGGGTGACAGTTGGCGCTGACAGTCGGTGACAGTCGCTGCGGTCACGACCCGTCATTCTGGGCTGCACGGCCGCTGTCCGGTCGTCGGGACACAGAGTCCAACTCCGGACACCTGGTCCTGTTACAGAGGTGTGCCCGACCGACCACGCTGTCCAAAGACGGCCGCCAAACAGCGAAAAATAGCCCCGGCTGGCCGGTTTTCAAATTGACCTCAGAGACTCGCTGGTGAGACTCTTGGGACCGGAGGAGCCACCCAATTTCGTGCGCGGATTGGGGTGTATTTGTGGTTTGCTGTAGCGTTGGACATGTCTAGCTTTCCTGTTTCGGGCTGGGCTTATCGGATCGTTACTGTGGGATTTCTTGTGACCTATAAACGAGATCCAATATTTTTTTATGTAATTCACCCAAGAAATTGGCACCTTTAACTTCCACTACCGATTGGTAATAGTTGAAAAAAAATTGCAAAACAGCAAAAATATTGTATCTAATTGCACCAATATAATCCTACAGCTTTCACTTCAGCGAGTTGGGCGTCCTGCACTGTCTCCTAGCATGCATTAAGCAGGTCCCTACCGCCTCGAAACAATGGGGTCAGAAATCAATAATGTATTTGAAACCAGCTCCAACTACTCGAAACAAAGCACGATTGACACCATTGAGCGTTTGAACCATAATCTGAACGTTTGAAGCCGTGAAAATCGCCGACTTCCTGGAAGCAATTGGCGAAACAGTCCCCAGCTCTTCAGATAGCATGCAAATCATTCTACCGAGAGATCGGAGCTAATAACACGCGGCCTGAACTTGAAATTGACGTCTTTTCTGTAGAGCACGGCACGTCCAGTTTCGACTTCAGAAACCGAAACGACGGCCTCTGCCGCTGCTGTTCACCAGCCTCAGACCTGAACACGTGCTGAAGAGCTGTAGGTCAAGTGTAAAACGCTCACCACAACGTTGAGCTGATATACACCAGTGTGCCATGGGTGCTGGGTAATGAGCGGCTTCAGGCGCGGCAGCTTGGTGTCTCTGCAGTGCCATGCAGGCAACTCCTCGAATGAATTTCGGTGCGCAGTTGTACTATTCACGGAGCCAAATGGCGTCCAAGTTCCGAGGATTTCTTTCATGGTGTCGTCGCGGAGCCTCCCCTTTCTGAGAATGTGATCGCCCACGCGCACATTCCGGCAACCATTACGTGGGTCAATTTTCTCGCAGAGCTTCTTCAGGCTTCAGCGATTTGTTTATCGGTATTGTGGCTGTCTGGTTAATTGATAGTTACTTGTTTCTGAATCCATCCGATATGTGAGGTTGGTATGTGCTCAGTCTGACGACTGAGGAGCACTTCTTGCGGCCGAGCCTGCCTGCTGGCCCGCCACCAAGCCGCGTTAAAAACGCAAACCGGTGTGACAGGGTGACCGCGGAGCCGTGAGCAGTCAGGCGCTCAGCATTTTCGGCGATGTCCAGGCGACATTGTTGCAGGTCTATTTTTATCCAGCTATCTCGCAGGCTATCATGATTGCTCACGGGACTTTTGAAAGCGACCTAGCCGTGCAGCGGCGCCGAGAGCCGTTGCCAGATTTTCGCCCGATTCTGTCTGGGTGCACCGTAAATGTCTGCATCTACGAGTACGATACGAATAGAAAAGTGTTGACAATTCAGGTGGCCTGTGTCTTCCATGAACGGATTTCAATTATAGATGAAGACTCATAGTCTACAGCGTGGCAGCACATATACGTTATCACTGATTCTCAGTCGCCCTCCCTGTACCGTTAGCATACTAACGGCAGGTGCTGTTAATTGGCATGTGAGACATCCACTCCAAGTTTTAGTGAACACTAGATGATTGCTGTTAGTAATCCCAGAGAGGTTAGTTAGTAATCCCAGAGAGGTTAATTAAGGAATGTCAGTGTGACCGTGTGATAGGCTCATATTCGAAGATGTTTCACTTGCAGGAATCTGTTATATAACTTTGCTTTAACCAGCTCAAAAGCTATAGGTTTATATGCTATTTCTGAAAAATTGATTCGCAGGATGATTAACTGTTACTCCATATGCCATGATTATATATATATTTAACCTCATATCAGTAGCATCAGTCCTAAACGAAAACTGATGCTGCATTTTACTTTCTGAACCCACAAATCACGTGCTCGAAGTTGTGGTTTCACAGCATGTGGTTGTGGAAGCCTCACGCCAAGCTGGTCTCACCCATTGTTAGACTGTCATTTTCGTGTAAATGTGGCCTTGTGCATCACATCACTGAAAATTCGGAACCGGCTTGTTGGTCTGTCGGACAGCGAGGTCCGCATTTCTGGCGTCTGGGTAGCTCGAGTGAAGCGGTCCGCGCCGTCCGTCGGACCGAGTGGCTCCGGCTCTCTGACGGTGCCGACGTCGGACAGCGGCCAGTCGCCGGGTCGTGGCCCCCTGTCGACATCGATCGGTTCTGTCCGCCGGCAGCGGGCCTGTCGGGAGTGGCAGCGGGTCTGGTGGAGGTAGCAGAGGGTCTGTTAGGACAGGCAGAGGGGCTGTCCGGAGTGGCTGTTAGCCCTCGCCGGCACAGGGGGGGGGGATGTTGATGCAACCCCCCTAAGGTTTTTCGCGAATAACTCGCGTAAAAAGCGGTTGATCGGGCAACAAAACTTTCAGTACGTTCGCATTGATCAATTTTACACCTACCCTGAAAATTTTATGACCCTGACCCAAATGACCTTTGACCTGTGACCTCTTTTCCGAGACCATGTTTGGCCGGAATCGCGATTCGGCGTATGTCGGCTCGCATTAGCCGCGGGTTTGCAAGTTTTTCGTGGTTTCAAACGTTCAAACATGTGAGTTGATGTTGCTCCCATGCATTAGGATGGGTGTTAAGGTCACCTGAAGGTCAGGTCAGGTCATTGACCTTTGGTGACCTCGGCTCACTTTTTCGTGTTTTACATGTTTCTAGGCTAGTTTTTGGAGCTGAATTCGAATTTAGCAACCAATTGAACATTTACGAAGTAGTTTTGCTGCCTTCGTAACATGTTACGAAGCTGTCAGAGGCGGATGACAGGTACTACGAATGCCCGTCACGACCCCTACCGGTTGACCTGATCTGACCTGACCCGACCTGGTCTAAACGCTTAACGACATCATCTGTGATCAAAACTAACACGATATTCGTGATCAACACCCCGGAAAACCCCTTAGCAAACACCTTAGCAGCCACACTTTACGACTTTCTATCAGGTCCCGATATTACCGATTTTTGGGTCATTGACCTGACCTGGAAGGTCAACCGATGACCTACGACCTTAAAATTGGGTATCATTGGCTTCCTCTCGTGACGGGCAACACGCTCGTTTTTTCCGCGAAGCTCTAACTCGATCAGGGGCCAAACGCGAGGGGGTCGTTCCACCCCCCCCCCCCTTTGTGCCGTCGAAGGACTCAAAATGGCCTGTGCCGGCGACAGCCTCCTAACCACTTTTCCTCACTTGATTAGCTGTTCGCCCGACGGACCTCACCGCTGTCACTTTCTAGTCAGCGACTTGTACATACCTCACGGCTACCGTTCAGCATACGCAGAACAAGCAGTCCATTAGTCAGCTGGTAGTCAAGCATCTGAATTCATCTCATGTTTTGTAAATAGTTGCTTGACTTGTTTCAGCTATCTCTCACCACCTTATTAGCCACTCGCCAATCCCAGCTTTGAGGTTGCGACATTGTGTCAGGACTGCGCTCCATTGTCTCCCCTTTTTTTGCTCCTCGCCGCCTGCCTCAGGCCTTCGTCTGCCGTTTTCCGTTAGATGAGCCGTGGCCACCGGTCGGATGAAAGCTAATCCCGGTGTGCCGAGACGAGACATCGAGCCGACGCCGATGACAGGCGCCTGTCTGAAGGTGTGCAGGTGCCACTGGGTGAACCCGGTCACTTCGCTTTCAAGGATAGTTCGGCCTGCCGCCCCGGGATCAGCCGAACCTGCCTGGACCGAAAACTGGCCCGGATGGACGGGTATCTGATGAGCTGAGGTGATGACGTCACACAAGGAGAGGTGGAGAGAGGGAGTTAATAGGGAGGGTGAAGGTACGGTGGAGAGGAGGAAAGGAGGTGATAACTATGAGGCGGTGAGTAAAGGACAAGAGAGGAGAGGGGTGAAGAGAAAAGTGGGAGAGAGGTAGGAAGGAAGGGAGAGAGTGTGGAAGAGAGAGAGAGAGAGAGAGAGAGAGAGAGAGAGAGAGAGAGAGAGAGAGAGAGAGAGAGAGAGAGAGAGAGAGAGAGAGAGAGAGAGAGAGAGAGAGAGAGAGAGAGAGAGAGGAGAGAGAGAGAGAGAGAGAGAGAGAGAGAGAGAGAGAGAGAGAGAGAGAGAGAGAGAGAGAGAGAGAGAGAGAGAGAGAGAGAGAGAGAGAGAGAGAGAGAGAGAGAGAGAGAGAGAGAGAGAGAGAGAGAGAGAGAGAGAGAGAGAGAGAGAGAGAGAGAGAGAGAGAGAGAGAGAGAGAGAGAGAGAGAGAGAGAGAGAGAGAGAGAGAGAGAGAGAGAGAGAGAGAGAGAGAGAGAGAGAGAGAGAGAGAGAGAGAGAGAGAGAGAGAGAGAGAGAGAGACTGACGATAAAAACGTTGATGTGGCCCAATACATCACACTACCGATGTGAATGAGCTCGCTCTCTGGACTCAAGGACTCGGTGTATACCTACCTCCAAGGTCGCGGGATTTCGAGCACCTACCGAGAAGCAGTGTCCGTATCCCGCGAACAGGGAGGCACCTCCGGCTGTGTCAGCGCGGGCCAGCTGTGGACACAAGTGTGTACTCTCACACGGCGCAGCTGAGAACCGGCGTGAACTAGTTCCAGATGGTAACTGCCGGTCACAGAGCGGTATCTGCCGGTCACAGAGAGGTATCTGCCGGTCACGGAGAGGTATCTGCCGGTCACAAGGGCGGTATCTCGGGCCATGGAGAGGCGTGACCCGGCGGTGGGATGGTCCCTTTTCCGTGCCATTCCCGAAAGTGTCACGGATGGTGTCCCATGGTAATGTTTTCTGTCACGGACTGATGCCATTGGCGCTGCTCTGGTGGTTTAGATGTGGTGATTTGTGTACTGTGAACACCAGAAATGACTGAGGGTAGGTCCGAGGTCGAACTTATAAAAAGTAGGTACCAAAAATTGACATGGCGGAAGGTATGTTTCCACTTTTCAGTTCCCAATTGAAGACTTGCTTGCACTTCTCAGTTCCCTATTCATCTAAAACGGTGGGCTGTTTCAGCCTGTCTTTGAGCACTCTCTCACCGACTGCCAGTGACACTATAGAGGAGTCCGTGTGCCGGCCGGGCCTTCGATCGCACTGCCGTGCTGGCGACAGCTTCGAGAAGATTTGTGACTCCTTATCTGGAGATGTTCCGCCTCATCACGGCTTTGCCAAATTTACTGATGGTTTGTCGACGGTCTATTGGCTGATTGAGGGCCGGGAGAGTGGCCCATCTTACATAATGCGGGTTGTGAAATATCCATACAGTCAGGCCAACGAGTTGATTTCGGCTACGCCAATACCGTGACCGAATCCTCCAGCAGGAGGCTTTGTGATTAACCAACTATCGCACATCCTATTAGCATCAGACACACCCCATATCCTTCGCTCGGAGCGGCCATCCCGGGGCTGATGGGAGCGGCTCATGATACATCCATGGTCTCTGAAGACACTATCCGCATATCAATGCCGTGTACTCGGCCGGCCAGCTAAGTGCCTTGGTGTAGGTCTGGCGTGCCACTGGTGACGTCACGAGATGTGAAGCTGACGTCACGAGGGGTCGCGCATGTATGCAGCACTGTGCGGTCATGAAAGTCGTCTCAAATCACTTTGGAGTGGTGGAATGGTGAAGCATTGCACATACCAAATGGCTTTGTTATGCCAATGCAATGCATCTTGCAAGCCTTAGCGTATTATGTATAAGTTATCTACATAGTGCCATCTTTGAAACTCAAAGATGATTCGATTGTGTTATCTTCTAAGTTTCTGAACAGCATTAGTTTCTTTATGCCCTAGACTCATGACTATGCATAATTTGTGTGTAACTACATGAAACAATGTCTTCTTACAAGAACGTCCCACATGAACAAAACATTTCATTCCTTAGTGATTACATTTATTAATTATATTGCCAGTGAATTTTGTCTTGTGTGTCTTTCATAGTTGAAATGTGCAATTTCCAGCTCCACGGAAGTTATTGTTGTTTCTTATATATTCTATCTCTATGATTACCTTTGCTGACATTTAGATGTTTTCTGGTGATTAGAGATGCTTCATTGCATTTAATCCAATCGCATTATTAATCTTATCTTATGCGATGCATGTTAAACGACTGCATTAAACAAGTTCTCCGTTCTTCTGTGTCAAGCACCTTCACCTCTTGTGTGCACGACTGTCGCGTCTTCTTGCCTGCTCTGTCTGACGGCGTGCCGTCTCTCCCTCTCTCTGCACGTCTGCACGTCTGCACGTCTGCGCCGCTGACGTGCAGCCCGCTGGACTCGCCGCCCAGAGAGCAGTGGGTGCGCTGTCCGCTCTACGACTACGAGCTGCCTGAGTACCGGACGACCTGCTCCATCACCGAGAAGACGCAGCCCGTCTACCGCACCGGCGCCACCTACTACAACTTCACCATGAACATCACCAACGCACTGGGCACGCGACTTCAGTGGCTCGGCCTGGTCAACAACTTCGCCATAGGTGAGTGGTGCGGCGGGGGCGTTCAACGGGTGTCCGAGTGGTGCAACGGGGGCTGCTCTGGGGGCTGTTCGTTATTAGGGAGTGCCAGGGAATGTGGACGAGGGGGCGTTGATGCGAGGAAAGGAAGGAAATGGAGCAGGAAGAGTCACAGGGTGCCTGATGCTGTGTAGTGCTTCTGACAATCCTGCTTTTCCCTTCTCATTGGATCGATTTTTGATGTTCTTGTCGGCTACTGTTGGTGAATATCGAGTCAGCTACGCTGTAATTGACTTCCTGAACTCCTTCCTAGTCTTGTTCGGTTCCAAATGATCAGTAGTTAATGCCGATTGACGATTGATTCCTTCTGATAAACCTATTTTCCTGGATGTTTATCCGCCCCGCTCTTGTACTCGTATGTATAACCGGACGAGATCCGTCTCCAGACTGTTTAACGTTAGTGTACCGGTTGCTCTCAGTTTCTCGATGACAGGAATGTGTTTGAGTGACTCACGTGATTCATATCTCACTCATGACAAGTTTATCACGGTCATGTGCCGGGGGTTGACCAAGGCTGTGAAATGTGAGAGCGCCGATTTGTCTGGGGATTACGGAGCCGCTCGGATCTGATCGGTTCGGTCCGGGGAGGGCGGACCGTGCAGAACATGGGGGACGAGTAAACAGACACCAGCGGCCGTCAAAGACACCGCTCTGCAGCTGAAACCGCGCCTCCCAAAGGAGGTGTTATGTAAGCCGCGACCTCTCAAACAGTTCCACGTCGGTCTGCCTCCTGGAATAATTTTGAATTAGTACGGCAACTATAAAGATAATAGTTTTAATTGTTGAAACGGCGCAAGTTATATTTATTTTGTTCCATTTCCTAGCCATAAGGTCATCTCCTATAAAATCATCTTCATATGCCATAACTATGTAACAATAAATACGTGCAGTGTGTTGTGTGTTACTGCGGTCTGCGTGTGTTTTATAGATTTTAATCATAAGTCATCACGTACCCATTGGAGGCCAATCAGTAACATATTAACACAGTAGGTACTTCAAGTAAAAGTCTGCACGATTTCTTTGAACGAAAACATTTCCTTTTCTATTCGTGTCCTTTTTGTTGTCTTGAATTAGTAGGTTGTTCTGGACGATTTTTGCTATATTTGGCAACTATACGCACTTGACGTTATTCACTGGTATTAATCCATTATTTTCGACAGCCTCGCCTTAAAGTGCATCGGTAACGGTTTGTTGGCTATTTTGATCCACCAGGAAATATATTTTAGTAATGTGTAAAGATCAGCGACATGGGTGTACTGAGCCATATCCAATTTTCCTGTAGGCGAGCCCAAACACTACTATTTTACGGATATGATAAGCACGTAATGCATCACAATACTTTTGACAGCAATCCGTGCAAGAGCTCTTAGACGTACGTCTTGTATTCTTCTTGCCTCGCTCTGATAAAGAAGCTGAGTGTTGAGCCCTGTTTTCTGTTTTTGATTGGCATGATAAGTTGAAAACACAATCGGCGTAGTTAAACACGTTTTACCATGTTCTCGCGCGTGGGCTATGACGCACCAATAGGGTCTTTTCCACGAATCGGACGTGGATTCCCCCATTGTGGTCCTGTGTCGGTCTGTACTGTGGCTTCGATATCATCATTTTTCTTAGGTTTTGGCGTCCTTTCTAGTACACCTGCCTCAGGTAACGAAAAAATCCGACACCATCTGGCACTACAAGCATCGGATAAATGTCACAGATTTCCTCGACCTAAAACATACCATGTTGGGCACATTTTACCCTTTTCTCTTTATTTCGCTTTGTTGTACCTTCTTGCAGTAAACTCAATATTTATCGATCGATGGTTTAATACTTTGACGCATTTCACACTCTCAACTAAACCGCTATCCATTCCCACTTGCTGATGTCACAGAGGGCCTGGCCCGGCTCCCGGCGTGTTTCACATGACCAGCCGACTAGGCTGCGTTCGGCATGGGTTACCACGGGCGTCCCTTGGGCACCGTGACCGGCACCGTTAGCAAAATTAGTCCGGGAACCGGCCTGCCTACGCCAATTGGCCGGGGAGCGGCTATTTCCCTGCCGACACCCGTGGGCACGGTGCGATGTGATTGATGTTTGGGGTAGATGGTGCTCAGTGCTCACAAATAAAACATCAACCAAGACATAGACCGTATTTTCCTCTATATGACTAATTTACTGTCTTATGACTTTGTCTTATTAATGATTTACTGTATGCTTTTCGTGATGCATCTTCAATGCCTATAGCTCCTCGTATCATCAACATATTTCCATATCCATTTCATTTTCACCGACAGCAGAATTACGTTTCAGCAATTGTAGTCATCATCGCCCTTGACCACATTGCTGTAGAAGTCATTTCCATGTGCCGGTAACATCGTACAGTATACATGTGAGCACTACTGCCAGTGAGTTACAGCCTAATTTTGTTTCCCGTTGATTTTAATTACACTTGCATAATGAACAAATCACCACATACATCATTCCAGGTCCAATGAAGACATAGTGCCGTGAATCTAAATCACAATTTGCAACACATGTTGCGGACGTCTCTGGCTTTCTTGTGTGGACTGTATAGTGTTTGTTACGTCTCGCAGCATTCGGGTTGGCGGCCGGGGGGAATTGTGAGAGGATGTAGGATTAATAGAGGCAGTGAACGAATAATGAAGAAGGGAAGTATCTAATCGGTAAATAAATAAACACGGATGAATAATTTACGGATCAAAGGTTCAACAGCGCCCGTCTCAGAGCGCATAAGGAGCACACCTCGCGGCATGCATGTTGGGTTGTTCAACAGCGCCCGTCTCAGAGCGCATAAGGAGCACACCCCGCGGCATGCATGTTGGGTCGTTCAACAGCGCACGTCTCAGAGCGCATAAGGTGCACACCTCGCGGCATGCGTGTTGGGTCGTTCGACAGCGCCCGTCTCAGAGCGCATAAGGAGCACACCTCGCGGCATGCATATAATGTAGGATGACAGAGGATTGATAGGAATAGTGAGTAGACCCGGCCACCGTGAGAACTGTGAGCTGCGCGCCGCTCTCCTTTCCTCCACTCGCCACTTCGGTTTCACTCACACCACCACCACTTAAACACAGTCTTCTAAATAGAAGAGTTCGCTATTGACCGAAGACGGCGAGATGGCAGCAGTACAGCACAGACACAGTAGTTAGAAAAGTTAGACTCGAGCGGCAGCAGAGCGCCGCCGTCCGCGTTTGAGAGCGAAGTGAACTCGTCGGCGACTAACAGTGAAGTGAGACCGAGCAGAGCCCGGTATCGGTTCAAATACGTGGCCAAAATGTCACTCGATACAGGGGTCGTGACGCAGAGCACAAAAAAGGCGGCCGGCACGCCGCGTCCCCTCACACACCCTTCCAGTTCCCAGGCCCAGGGCCCCGCCGGCCCCATTCGGAACAGGTGACAGGTCAGCCGGGTCGCAGGGTCACAGGGGGACGCCGTTCGCGGCGTCGATACGGCCCATTGCTTCTGTCTCAGAAAAAAGCTATGCGCGGCGACAGGTGGCCGCTGGGCGGGCGGCGGCCCGGCTCGGCGGCGGGACCGGCGAGGCGGGGTGACGGGCGGCGCGGCGGCGGCTCGTCTCGGCATCAGCGGCGCGACATTTGCCTAGTTTGTCGGCAACATCACTCCCCCCTGTGTTCGGTCGTACGTTCCGAACACACACAAATGACCGACAAACTTCTCACACGCTATTCCTATGACTACTCACTAGTAAGCGGCACACATGGACATCAGACATTTGCCGAGCGAATAAGCCAAGCCAGACCAGGCCGACCAACACGGCGCTCGTTCGCCATGCGTTGACTTTTCTCCTCTCGATTCGTCTCGTTCTCAGCTTCAATTCACTTGTGGTCCTCTACTTCATCGTCTTCCTCCTTCTTCGTCTTCCTTCATCTTCTCGACATCCTCCTTCTCCCCGTCTGCACAGATTCACTTGCATTCCTCTTCTCAGAAGCAGATCTTGGTGGCTGGTCGCGTGTACAGTTTCGCGATAGCCGTTTGAAGCTCGGCAGACCGGACTCTGCCACCCGCTGCCGGCAACACGCGGCAGATGCGGGCCAACGGGCATGAGCCCCGAAACATGTTTGGGTCTGCCATCAGCACTAAGTCCCCAACTTGCAGGTTTCTCTGCTCCTTGCGCCACTTGCTTCTCTGGATGAGAGTCCGCACGTACTCTCTTGTCCACTTCTTCCACACATGTTCCGCCACAGCTTGGACATGCTTCCATCGGTGTCGGCTGCACATGTCTGTCTTTCACGAGCCCTGGCGCGAGATGCCTCGAAGCGCCACCAAGCAGAAAATTATTTTGCGTCAGAACTTCTTGGTCTGGCGGCTCCGAGCTGACGTGGATCAAGGGTCGATTGTCGACCATGTGCTCAACTTCAGTGGGCACCGTCACAAGCGCTTCGTCTGTGAGCACCTGTGGACCCACCACCTTCTTCCGAGTGTTCTTCACCGATCGCACAATTCTGCCCCACACTCCCCCCATGTGGCTAGCAGCCGGGAGGTTGAAGAGCCGGTCAAGTTCGAAGACAATGAGCTTTCCTGCGATCTCCCTTTCCATGGCTTGCAGCTCCGCCTTTAGCTCGAGACAGCCTCCCACGAGGTTGGCGCCGTTATCGGAGAGTCTGACTGATGGTCTCCCTCGCCTTGCGTCGTGGTGTGGTGAGAGCGGAAGCAGATCACTCTTCCCAGGTAGCTCGTTCCCCAGCGCCCGACTGTGGGTTTCCTCCGGATAGCTTGTCCTCTGCAACCGTTTGAGTATCCAGATTCCGGCATCCCTGAGTTCTTGGGCACTGAGAGGCCCGCTGAGACGCGTTTCATCGTCTGAGGCGCATATGGCTGTGTTGTGAGTGAAACGTCTCACACAGGCCGCCGCTCGACGGTACTTGAGCCAGCACGAGCTCTTCATGGCGTCTGGTAGCACGGGCTGTCGTTGGGTTGTGAGTCCCACGAAGTTCTCTTCCTTCACTGCCTCTTGTCCTGGTCTGAGCGGGCTTGCGTCTTGCTTTGATAGCCGGTTTTCCTCATCTTGCCACAGAAGACCGCGGCCGCGGAGCCGATTGCAGTCTGGCGATAGCTCGGACGCGGCCAGCTCTCTTGAGCAGTCGTCTACAGGATTCAGCGTTCCTGACACGTGACGGCACTGCTCCTTTCTGGTCAGGTCGTCGTTGCGTTTGAGTCTTCGTTCCGTGGCTTCGAGCCGTTTCATTGCGATCCGTCCGTTGTCGGGGAGCTCCACCCGGTCTTCCTTCCGCAGCATGCCTGTTTCATACCTGTCCGGCGGCTCTTTTGTTTTGCCTTTCAGGATTGACAGCGCACGATCATCCTCCCGGGACTGTTTTACAGGCTCGTCGTACTTGGTCCCAAAGGCCTCCGTGCACCAGTCCTTCACGGTGGTTGCTAGCTCGTCGTCGCTGCTCTGGGCGTTGCGTTGCAGGAACATAACCTGGCGCAGGCTGCTTGGCTCCACTGCTGATATGGAACCAGCCAGTGCCCATCCAAACCCGGTTCTTATAGCTGCTGGCTGGTTGGAACGACCCACTCGTACTTCCTGTTGGAGAACGGCTTCCAGCACGTTCCCTCCGAGCAGCAGTTTCACTTCACCGCCATCATACTGCGGAAGTGCTAGTCCACGGAGATGTTTGCATTGCCTGAGTTGGCGGTGAGATACCGTTGGGGCAGTCACATTCAGTGATGGTACAGCCCAGGCTTCAGGGATTTCGATGTACCCTCTCTTCACACCATCGCCGAGCGCGCTGACCGTCAGGGTAACGCGTTCAGATGGTTTCTGAGCTCCGCTTCCCTCCACATTTTGGATGCAGAGCTGGCGAAGGTCCCCGGTGATGCCCAACTCCTGCAGGACGTCAGCGCTGCACAGTGACGTTTGCGCTCCGGTATCTAGCAACGCCAGCACGTCCTTTGATTTGGTCGCTCCGTGGACGCGAACCCGAACGACCTGCAGCAGTGTGTCGGTCTCATTGCTGAGGGAGGCTGCTACAAACGGCGAGTTGCATTTAGCTTGCGGATATGGTGCCGCAGCCGTTGCTGATCCGCTCGGAGAGTCTTCTTCCCTTGAGCTTCCGTCCTCGGGTCTCGCGTATCCTGAGCTTCTGTGTAGCATTGGATGATGAGTGAGCTTGCAGCCCTCCACTCCGCATTTCCGAGAGGATCTGCATCTCCTGGTCCAGTGGCCCTTCCTCAGACATGAGAAGCAAAGGCCGTTCTCGTACACCATCTCCATTCTCGCTTCCAATGTTTTCTTCTTGAATGACGGGCAGTCAGCCACCCTGTGATTATCGCCGCACACCAGACAGGGTGGCAGCGAATGTGGTTCCACTTCTCCAGCTCCATGAGTCGCTCCAGTCGCGAGCGCTGTCCTCCGCACCGCTCCTTCACGCTGCGTGCCGGCTGCATTCCGTTCCGACGTTCCAGACTGAACTGCCGAGAAGCTGAGGATGCTGACTTGCACCTGAAGCCATTCGCTGAAGGTCTTCAGAGTGGGTCGTTCTGGCCGTAGCCGAAACACTTCACGACCCCATTCTCGGGCCAGCTCATTCGGCAGCTTCTCCACCACCCTCCTGAGGTTCTCACTACTGGACAGATCGCTTGAATAGCCAAGATTCTGTAGGATGGTCACTGTGTTATGAACGATGGCGTAGAACTTTTCCATTGCTGGAAGATCCGTGAGAGCTGGTGGGTTGGAAGTGAAGATTTTCCTCAACTGACTTTGGATGATGTCTTCTTCTCTCCCAAATCTTTCTTGTAGGGTTCTCAGAGCTTCCAGGTAGAGGCTGCCATTGAACAGCATGCCTTCAATAGCTTGGGCTGCCGGCCCTTCTACTGCGTTCTGCAAGTGAGCCATTCGCTCTGAGTCCGATAGAGACGGCTGGTCGTGGACGAGAGCCTTAAATAGGCCGATCCAGCGAGGCCACTCCTGAGGGCTGCCTCGGAAGGTAGGCAGCGTCAGACGTGGTATACTTTTCACGAACGCTGATGGGCCCGGGACGTCACATCGCCGCTCGGAACCCAACGCTGTCACCCAGCTGGTTGGGTCCTGGTTGGCAGTTCTCGGCTGGTTGGCTATCGAAGAGGTACTAGTAGCTTTCGGTGGCGGCGGCTCGCGCCGGAGCTCTCCCAAACCACTGATCACGCGTTCTTGCTCTTGCTCGTTTCCCTTCCCGCGGCCGCATCCGGTGTTGTTTTGACGACTAGGCGCCACTTCCACAGCGACCTCATCTTCAAAGTCGTGTCTTCGTTCCCACTCCAACTCGTTGCCAGCGGCCCTCCAGAGACGCGCCTTCAAAGTCGCACGTTCCACTTCCTCTTCTAGAGCCCTTTCTTCCAGCAAATCTTCTTGTTTTCTCATCTCTCGTTCTCTTTCTTTCCTTGCTTCTTCCATCGCTCGTTCTCTTTCTTTCCTTGCTTCTTCCAGCATATCTTCCTGTCTTCTCATCTCTCGTTCTCTTTCTTTCCTTGCTTTGAGATGCTTTAGTTCGAGAGCTTTCAATTCCGCGGTGATTTCAGCCTCCTTGAAAGTGGCTGAAGCCTTTGAGCCTCGTGATATATGAGACCCGCACACTTTGCTTCCTTCCTCAAGTTGCACCGATGGTAGGGGGAGCATTCCTGTGCGTGACGCTGAGCGGCTCGCTGATGGGCGAGTTATCGCCTCTTCAATTCTTGCGACCGTTTCGGCGTGCCGCGCTGTCATTCTTGTGGCGTACTCCTCCGCTTCTTCCAGCTCGCTCACATCTTGCAACTTCTCTACAAACTCCTCATTTGCATCCATGAAGGCGTCCAGCGTTGTGTGCAGCGTCTCGAGCCGCTTCTTCAATTCCTCCTCACTGGCTCGCCGCGCTATTTGCGCGTCAGCCCTGTTACACGAGCGTGTGAACATGGCTGCCTTGCGACCGCGATGAAGCTTTAATGCTTTCCGTTCAGCGGTGATATCTCCATCCTCTCCTCCTGCAGGGTCGCAGTTCTCTAGCATCGTCTCCCGGTTCTCCGTCTCCGTCTCCTCTTGCCCTGCAGGCTCGCAATTCTCAGGCGTCGTCTCCTGGTGCTCCGTCTCCATCGCGTCTTCCATCGGTCCACGATACTTCTCAACTCGACTGACACGGTGGGAGCAGAACTTATCGACGTCACGGACGGTTGTTCACGCACAGTATCGACTTATTGTACATTCTCTTCTAGACTTCTTACTTTCTTAGCTGATACCATCCGGCCCGGAGGACCAGCGAATGTTGCGGACGTCTCTGGCTTTCTTGTGTGGACTGTATAGTGTTTGTTACGTCTCGCAGCATTCGGGTTGGCGGCCGGGGGGAATTGTGAGAGGATGTAGGATTAATAGAGGCAGTGAACGAATAATGAAGAAGGGAAGTATCTAATCGGTAAATAAATAAACACGGATGAATAATTTACGGATCAAAGGTTCAACAGCGCCCGTCTCAGAGCGCATAAGGAGCACACCTCGCGGCATGCATGTTGGGTTGTTCAACAGCGCCCGTCTCAGAGCGCATAAGGAGCACACCCCGCGGCATGCATGTTGGGTCGTTCAACAGCGCACGTCTCAGAGCGCATAAGGTGCACACCTCGCGGCATGCGTGTTGGGTCGTTCGACAGCGCCCGTCTCAGAGCGCATAAGGAGCACACCTCGCGGCATGCATATAATGTAGGATGACAGAGGATTGATAGGAATAGTGAGTAGACCCGGCCACCGTGAGAACTGTGAGCTGCGCGCCGCTCTCCTTTCCTCCACTCGCCACTTCGGTTTCACTCACACCACCACCACTTAAACACAGTCTTCTAAATAGAAGAGTTCGCTATTGACCGAAGACGGCGAGATGGCAGCAGTACAGCACAGACACAGTAGTTAGAAAAGTTAGACTCGAGCGGCAGCAGAGCGCCGCCGTCCGCGTTTGAGAGCGAAGTGAACTCGTCGGCGACTAACAGTGAAGTGAGACCGAGCAGAGCCCGGTATCGGTTCAAATACGTGGCCAAAATGTCACTCGATACAGGGGTCGTGACGCAGAGCACAAAAAAGGCGGCCGGCACGCCGCGTCCCCTCACACACCCTTCCAGTTCCCAGGCCCAGGGCCCCGCCGGCCCCATTCGGAACAGGTGACAGGTCAGCCGGGTCGCAGGGTCACAGGGGGACGCCGTTCGCGGCGTCGATACGGCCCATTGCTTCTGTCTCAGAAAAAAGCTATGCGCGGCGACAGGTGGCCGCTGGGCGGGCGGCGGCCCGGCTCGGCGGCGGGACCGGCGAGGCGGGGTGACGGGCGGCGCGGCGGCGGCTCGTCTCGGCATCAGCGGCGCGACATTTGCCTAGTTTGTCGGCAACACAAGTCCTTTTATCAAATACATACAGAGCAAGTTTTAGGCTGTACGACGGCCGAGAGGGCGCAGGGCCAAGACTTGTTCCGCTTAGTAGTTGATGCGCTCTGACCAGTCACAAGCGAATATAGTCTCTACGGATCGATCACCACTACAGTATGCCAATGACGCAGCAAGTATTCTACTTATCCTTACTAAGCACTCACCTTTCATTCAGTGGCTCTATTTACTACAGGCGACTCCCGTGTCCAGTATTAGCACACAACCATTCCACGTTCACTTCATCTGACGTGTCCCGGTGCTCCCACAGTTCTGCCGGCGGCTCCGGAGCGAGTCAGCAGCGCAGAGGTCACCACCAGTTCAGTGCTGCTGGAAACGGAGGTCGGCTGGCCCATGGACAGTTTCCCGCGGCCGCTCGACTTCGAGGTCACCTACACATCGCCGTGGGACCCCCAGCCGCAGGTAAACGGTCAACAAGGGTCAGCGAGTCGCTGACTATAGGTAAAGGCTATTGCACCTATTGCTAACATGTGACAGTCGCAGAGATTAGCTCTAAGCTCCTGCATCGGCCTAGGACAATGGACCGCTCTCTTCTGTGGAGTATGAGTAACGTTTTACGGTCAAGTTAAGTACCGGCTCGCCGCTAGGCTAACAAAATAAAGCTTGCCTTGCCCGAGAAAAATGAATGAACGGTCAACGCTAGTTCTTTGCATATGCTAAACCAGCTACAGGTGGCTTATGAATTATGAGACCGTCGATAAAAAGCTTCTTAGCGGAACTAGCCAAATAAAAGACACTGTCCAATGTGGGGTGAATAATCCACGCCGCCATGCATGCAGAAGCTCCTTGCATCACTCGCGCTGATCCTTCCATATGTTGAGGTACCCGCAGCCACATTCCTGCCGTGTAAGCCGGTGGTGAAGTAGGCGTGATTAACCACAGTCGGCCTACTGGTCCGGTGGCTTACTTCAGCCGGGGGCCGGCGCACGGGAGCGCGGCCAAGGAGCTTGTCATGTGGGCAGACTGCTCCTCCACACCCCTCTGCCCGCCGCTCCGCTGCTCCTCCACACCCTCTCCCCGTCCCTTCTGCTGTGTCCTCACCGGCCGATTGAGGGGCGCTCACGGGGCTGGCCTGTGGCCGCGGCGAGCAGTGCAATTTCAGGGGCGCTGCGCTGGCGCGGCTACCCCGCTAATGACCTGTCTGCGGCTCATAAATCTTCACGTCATCAGAGTCTTAGGGCGGCTTATGGCAGGGATTGGTCGAGCCCCCCCCCCCCCCCCCACCAGGGGGGCTCAGGAAGGTGCGGCTGCCGCCGATTGTATCGGCTCACCAACTTCCTTATTCGGCACGGAGAGGCGGCCGCTCCGGCGTATGTACGCCCCCCGGCCCAGAGCCGAGGACCGGTCACTGCAGGTCTCGCCGGCTGCACACAATGATACCAAGATGGGTACTACTCGTTATCCGATGATTAACTGTAAACCTTATTGGAATGACATCGAAACAATTATTTGATTTCGGTGAAGTATATCAATCACATTGAGCAATCCACTGTGACATAGGCATGACATTGTACTTCAACATTCATTTAGTGTGCTGCTATTAACAACACACGCTACAAAAACATACAAAGGAGCGGAAACTACAGCACGATCTATCAGAGTGGTATTCTGACTAAACTGTGCCAGTAACCTGTGGATGATCTTCGGGAGGTTTGGCGCTGGCACGAGGTCTTCTCAGACGGCTGCTCCCGGGCTGCACATTGCTGTAACGCGTTCAATCCATCTCTCCGGTGTAATGTCGTTTGTGAATGTCACGCATTTGGCTTTCGCAGCAGTTCCTTGCGGGTGTAATACAATTGGTTTAAAAAACGATGCTTAGGAGTCACGTTTTGCATTTTTTTCGGGATTTTCACGCTGAGGTTAAATGGAGAATTATGTTTTGATGCTGCTTCGTAGAAATTTCGTCATAGAAATCACCGATAAGAGTGGCTGAAGCTAATGTCCTGTATTTTTAACTACCTTAACTTATATTTATCCTCTCATCGGCCATAGTAGGTTTGGCAACCAATGGGCCAGCTACAAATATTAATCATAACACAAGTTATGACATAAGTTTTCAGTGAGGCTCTTATAAATAGATTGTCGGATCCCGTTTGCTTTCTCTTGTATAAGTATAGCAGTTAAGGTAACTTCCAACACCGCCGTGACAGAAAAACAAGGTTAGTTACGAGCTCTCGACCTGAGTCACACGCAAATCCGTATACACTTTCCCACGTTGCATGTGGTGATGAAAATTGAAGGTCGTGGCACGTGCAGTATGACATATAGACATGACAGTGAACAATCAATTAAGGATGATCATTCATTAACACCAAGTGCCGCAGCTGCAGCGTCATACTTATTTTTAGGAACGTTATTGGAATGAAGTTATGATTGACTTTTACCCGAAGCTATAATAAACGTTTTGACTTATAAATGATCATATTTACCATCAAGACCTAATAATGTTAGTCCACTGTTCAAGTTTTGCCTGTTTGCTGGTCTTAAAGCGTCATTATCTCTTTATTAAAACTCGTTTCAGCATGCAAGCAGGTCTTATCTGAGGAAATATCTGACTGTTCGCACTATTCTCACGGCTTGCCATGAACTGTACGTCTCGACAGGAACGTGTCAGTGACGGAAACGGATTTTTCCGTATTTAGATGAAAATAAAAAGCCATTTTTATTGCCTCTCCTATTTAATCGACGCGACAAATTCCTCCTCAGTCCCCATGACACGACCTCGACATTTCAATATGATATCTAGCAATACGACATGAACATTGATAGGACGTCTGATCGACTTATGAGTCTACTATGGGCTCAGTTTGCTTTGATTTATTTCAGACTTGTCGCAAGATCTCGACTCCGTGCGGTGAATCTTAAATTGTTATACAAACATAGCACAACTCACTTATATGTTAAGTTAAGTTATAGTAGCATGCCTAGTAAAATTTGTGTTTTATGTTTATTTTCACCTTAATCAACAGCGAACAGCAATACATTTATTTCATTTCTCTGGCTTTGATATTGCTGCCTTATTGTTTTCAGCTTTCATCGCGTTCTTTCAATCTACTGATTCATCTCCCAGTTACCCCATGACCCGACCCTCCAATACCCCATCTCACGCCCTCTCCCCTCTCTCTCTCTCTCTCTCTCTCTCTCTCTCTCTTCTCTCACGCCCTCCCCCTCTGTCTGCAGTCGGTGAACGCCTCGTCAATGAGCGCCATGCCCAGTGACCAGGAGCTCTCCTTGCCGCGGCCACTGCTGGTCACCGGTCTCAGACCGTACACGCTGTACCACTTCTCTGTGAGGATGCGCTCCAGTCTGGCCGAGAGCGAGGACCTGTGGTCGGAGCCGACCACGCTGGACGTGAGGACTCTGCCCACTGGTGAGTGCGGGGCAGAGGGACGGGGCGCAGAGGTGCCACCAGGGCGAGACGGGAGAATTAAGCTGGGCGCTTGGCCCTGCTATCGGTTTTTCATGGCGTGCTGGGAGTGCTAGTCGGCTCCTTCCCACACTTTTTTGACACTGCATGGATTGTATTTGTAATTTTCATATAAATATTTCAAAAATATTTTGCTGTTTTACATCCAAATTATTTTATTTCATTTTGACACTTCAACTATAGTTTCTGTAGGCTGTAGTGCTTTGGATTAGCCAGGCAGCTTGCAGCTGGATGTGTTATATAATGCTGTTGAATAAGCTCACGGTGTTCAATTCATGCCTAGTCCGACATGCTACCAGGCACTAGCGCAAATGTATGTGTGGACAAACAAAGTTCTCGGTACCATTATAGCGCTAATGATGGATTTGCTGGCCCAAAACAATAGATGGAAAGGGCATTATCCCATCCAATCTGGAATGACAAGCGTGCTTTCTCGTTGAAGCAGTTCACGTGTCACGAAATGAGCAGCTCATGATCAGCTTACATAACTTCAATGCCCACATTGCGGCACGATTTACGTTAGAATTTCACTGATGTATTGCTTACACGTTTACCATGACTAGATGACACACACGCTGTCACCGTTCCCATAGCTGATAGATGCCTTTATTACCGCCACGGCCGAGCCTGAGCGTGCCACCACAAATTTCTGACAACCACAGTCAACCAGCTCTGTCGCCATTCTCACAGCTGAAATTGTCGACACGATCTTCAATAGAAGAAATACATAAAATGGCACAGCTGGTTGACACAAATGTCACTAATGGGATCTCAGCGTTTTGCTAGCTAATAATCACAAAGAGTGTCATGCAGACTGACAAGTAATAAAAAAGTGATGCTAAGTTTAAGCTATCTTCTCATAAATTATTTAGTTGTGACAGTCTAAAAACCCATATTTTACTCAAAACCATGGCTGGCCTGTAAATAACCCATTATTTTTCTTTAAAACCTTGTATGTAACACTTGCATATCGCCTGTGTCATTCGCCCTACTCTTCATAGCCCATTCGGCACATCTAATCTGCATTATCACAACAGCTGCCTGTCTGCCCGCCCTCAGTTCCGGACGCAGCCCCGGCGGTGGACCAAGGCTCGTTTCAGCTGATCGGCGCCAGTACCGACTCGCGCACCGTGCTCGTCTACTGGCGCCAAATCGAGCCGTGGCAGAAGAACGGCGCCAACTTCAGCTACTGCGTGACGGCCACCGGGCCGACCGGACGATCCATGGTGCCCACCATGACCACGGACGCGTACGCGCGCTTTTCCGGAGTGAGCAGCGGCGCCACGATGTTCCTGTTGGCCTCCTGTAACGCCGTGGGCCGCTCGTCACAGACGGCCACTCTGACCGTGCCAGAGCAGAGGAAAGGTGAGCTGGAAATTCGTTGATTTTAATGAGGTTGAATTAAACGCTATGTTAAACGACTTGAACATTTTTTTTTTTGTACGGTAAATATTTGTTTTGAATTTGATCATTAGATAAACAACCGGTGACCAATTAAATAATAAATAGAGTGAGGAAATTAGGCACCCGTTTCCGATAAATTAACTCAATCCGCCTGGCATCAGCAGAGGATTTCGAGCAGAGCTTTTCAGGTCATGAAAGATGAGATAGGTACTGTAAACGGCGTGAGGTACTTGCAGGCCGCTTGGGGAGGAGCACGGTCGTAGCTTTTCGGTGAAGGTGTGACTGCAATATTGTGGGGCAGGACGATATATCTCGGAGCGAGGAACGCTAGATTTATTTCCCGGAAGTCATCATGGCATTGCTCCGTGGAAAGCTCCAGCCTTGATGTAACTACCAGGTTCCTAGAACACGCCAGTATTTGGTACCCAGTTTTACTAGACGGCGGTAGATTACGGAGCGCTGTTGTGTGCTTTGTAGACTCGATCCAACGAATAAAAATGCGAGATACATCACCGCTAACCATACCATTTTTATCTTCATTTATTAGCATGTTTCTATTTTGCCTATTTTCCCCACACATTTACGTTGACCTGTATTGATTCGTGGAGGCTGTGACTGCATTTCATCGAGTGACAGAGCTCAACGTGTTGCTCACAGCTATGGTCTGATGACGCTTGTCATTGAGATATTTGTATCATAGTTAGTTCTGCCTTTTACCACTAAGTCCGCGGCACGTTTCAAATGTAACAAACGTAAGAGTGGAACTTACAGATCGTTAATGAGTTATAATGTTGGAAAACCCAGAAACATGCACCGTTCTCTCTTCAAGTCCCTGGAGATCACGCTTGTTTGTAATACATGCGCTCAAAACATACCTTTTGCAGGATTACGTCAGTCATAAATTTAATGTTATTGTTTGATTGCTCCTTTTTGGTCGTAAACGGCTTTGTGTCGCACTATTCAGCTTGCACGACGCTCTGATGCACAGACAGTGCGGCGGGCTGTCCCTCCGTGCCAGGGTGTCCTGTCCTTGCTGCGTAGCTCGTGACCGAAGGGGCCTGTAGTGAGCTCCGGGACAGAACATTCCCGGCTGCTTATAAGCCAGGAGCTGCAGCTCCGTGGAAGGTAAACGGAAGCTTCTTTTCCCCACGTGAACCCTGCGTCTGTAAAAGTGGCGACAGCATTCTCATGTTGTCCAACAGGTGGCGTCATCATGCCCACTTGCAAGGCTGAGACAATTGTTTGTGTTCGTCCCTCATGCACTGCTAAGCCAGTGTTTTGTTTGCCTGCTTTGGATCATTTTTCCTACTACAGGCTGCTGCACCCATTTGTTGTTTATTCCCTATTCTGTACATAGGAAGCTTACCGGTAAAATGACAAAGGGCCCCATTATGTAACGCTGAAGCTGGGGGCATGGTTGGGTGGCTACAACTATTCGTTGCATTAGCCATAAGCTCTGAATATGGTGGTTGGATGCAGCATCCTATGGCAGTAACTCATACACGTTGCAGGTAAATGTAGGACATATGCGAAGAGGCGATATGATTTACTGGTCATTGTTATGTGTCTGCTTACTCTACTTACCTCCCATAATATCTTACTCTAATGACTTGGCCTGTTTCGCCCTAAACTTCCCTCTACAGTCCTAAATGATCGACTGAATTAGCTCACCGCCCATTTTAGGCATCCTTATATACGGGACTTGTCCCTTTGGTGATGGGGCATTCTTATATGTTGATCCGACATTCCCTTTCGATAACTTGGCCTTCCTTTTTAGCTACCTTTCCTGGCCGTCTGTTGGCCTGATTTGCCCCTCTGTTGATGTGACCTCCCTTTTGTTAACCTGACCTGCCCCTCTGTTACCGTGGCCTTTATTCTACTAACCCCCACCTCTCTCCGCAGTGGGTGCGCCGCCCCACTCCGTGACGCTGAGGATCTCCGGTCCCGGTCAGTATCAGCTCTTCTGGCAGCACACCGCAGGCGACAGGACACCCGACAGCTTCACCCTGTTTGCCTGCGAGCATCGCTCCGACCAGCCCTACCAGTGCCAGGTGGGAATATTGGAAAAGAGTCAAGACGAGAGGAACAGAGGGAGAAATAATGGTGATGTATGCTGCCTGGTTACTCCTTTTATTTCAAACAAAGGTGCTTTGTTCTCTCCATCAAAGTTATAATTTAGGGTAGCCTTTTCTCTGTCCGAGTTTGGATTCGCCAGCATTTCACGCATTTACTTAGATCCTAGCTCATAGATGGCAGTAGTAGTGAGCGCCTGATTTTATGCTGTACCGCATAACATTGACCCAAGCACGCAGGCATGCTGGGCACATTAAATGAACATGCTGTGCTTTCAGAAACCTGCAATCGATCTATTGCTAGTGTGGTAGTGTTCTGAAATGGGTTTTGGGCAGGGGGTAATGCTACTTTTAATGCAGCCATATAAAATGATGAATGAATCAAGCGATGACCTTTTGCACATTTTCTTCTCGAAACTGCTGAACTCTTCACGTTCGAGTTCAAAGTTGGTCGCCATTTCAGTGGCGCCGTTGGAGTGCCACTGGGTCTGGGTACCGAAGTGCTAACAGCAATATAGCCGCGATTTCCATTAGAGAGAGCCTACTAAGCGCACTCGCCCCCCGGGGGTCGCAGGGGAGGGGGCGCTACATGTCGACGCCCGCTCCGCTAGATTAACTGGCCCAGCTCCGAAAATGGCGCCTGTCTGGCGAAATCGGCAACCCTGGTCAATTTCATTCTGCTTGGAAACACGTCGGACAGAGCGGGCCGGGGCATTGTTCCCCAGTCTGTGACGTCTTCCGTACCCAATAACCCGCGGCTTTCAGAGCCACTGACAAGGCGGTGTCAGCAGCCCAGCTTGGGAAAGTCTGTTGACTTTAGAAAAGGCAATGCTGATTGCCTCTTAGTTCAACTGGAGCCAAAATCTCACGAATATAAAATTGGCATACCTACATCATATGTAGGTATACCACATCATATGTTATGTGGCAAATAATGTCTTGCATTAGATTTTTGCTCGCTTCGTTTTATTGATTTATTATATTGGTGAAATGTAAAGTATCCATGACAGTTGGATAACGACAACTCAAGAAACTCAAGATTACCAACCGATATTTATTTTAAAATTACTTTTACACCTGGCACTGGTAGGGGAGAGTGGGGTAAGATGCCCAGGGTGGGAAAGACGCCCCACCCCCTCTAGCGGGGAAACAAAGAATCGAACCTGGAAATTAATGCTCTTAGCGTAAAGCGGAAGCCTGCCTTGTTAACTGCACAAAAATTTGCGAAGCTCAGTTGGGCAACGGCTGGCTGGTGATTGCATGTTTTTTATTTGCTGCTTTCAAAAAATATGTTGGCGTCAAAACATTGTAAATATCAAAGAAGGTAGCTAATTTTTGCGTCCCTTGCTATAGTCGTGATACATTAACATGCATGTACTGTGTCCCAAACAGTTTGTTTCAGGGTGTAGTTTTATGGCTAACAAATGGTGCTGATTTAATGTTACTTCGGTACCTTGGGGTAAGATGCCCCCTGTCCTGATGGGGAAAGACGCCCCCCCCCCCCTAAATCCGTAGGCTGTCCTCCAAGCAGCCCGTCAAATCATTTATTACATACTTGTGATGAGAGACAAAAGCCGATCTGGGACTATTGAGAGTCCAGTACGGTCGGGTGCTCCCCATGCCGGTCTTTCGGCCCGCACAGCGACTTTTTGGGCGGCACCTGACTCTGAGAGCCCTCACGACGGCCTCTGTGGGCCCCATTATTGGTTCCAGGGCCCCTCACGACATCCTTTGAGGGCTCCCACGTTGGCTCCACGGGCCGCGCTGGCATCTGAGGTCCCCACGATGGACTCGAGGGCCCTCAAGCATTATAAAGACCTATAAGGGCCCACAGTGGTCTCCGAACGCCACCACGGAGGCTTGTTTGGCCACGCTGGACTATGATGGCCCTAACGATGACCTCTGAAGCCCCTTACGACTACTTTTGAGGGCCCTTACGATGACGCGAGACACCTATCCGTGCTTCTATCCTCAGGATACTGAAATCCTTCTCCTCCACGCCACAACCCCCTTCCGGGCTGGACAGGCAACTTTATCTCATGCGGGCTGCTCCCTTGGAGCGGCACCGCTGCTCCCGAGGGAGCTGCACCCCGTAGCCGGGTGCAGAGAGTGCTTGGGGGGCTGGTCGGCCTGTCCTATGGATGGGCTCAGCCCCGGCGACTCTCTAGGGTGCCTGCCCAGACCAATGTCTCCCCCCAATTCCTATCATCCTTCCGGCTCTGCAATGGTCTTGTCGACCGAAAGGGCCTAACCCAACAAAACAAACAAACGATGACGTTTGGTGCCTACTGCAGGCTCGAAGGGACTACTGATTCGTTCAGGCGGTTTACGTGCCTATTTATGTCACTTATAGTGCAGGGGGCAATCTTACCCAACCCCAGGGGGCGTCTTTCCCACCCTGTGGGGTAAGATGCCCCCTTTCACTTCTTCAGGAAAATGCTTAATAGCAAAAAAAGTTATCATATTTCAGGCACGAAAGAGTGATATTTTTGGAGAAAAATGATGTCGGCTTCCGTTGAAACTTCAAGTTTTGGCTTTCCGATCGTCATTTTCGAATAATATATGACATAGTCAAACCCTGGGCATCTTTCCCCACTCTCCCCTAATAAATATCGGTTGGTAATCTTGAGTTTCTTGAGTTATTGGTGAAATGATTGGTATCTTCTGGCTCCATGTCTGGACCAGCTGTGGTCGACCTCTTCATTCGACGGTCTACTCCTGCTACCAGTCAGCTAGAAGAGAGTACCGGAAAGCTCGCCGCACAGCAGCCTTAGCCCCCGTGCAGCAAGAGGCCCGTCTGTTGCACCAACTCAAGCGCAATGGGAACACCAACGCCTTCTGGCGACGGGTTCAGCGCTCTCGGCGCGGCCCTCTCCCTCCTGGGGGTGGTCGCACTGCCAGCGAGTTCGGAAGACATTTCGAGGCGGTGCACGCGGACGAGCCCTCCCTGCTAGACTCTGAGCAGGCTCAGATTGCTGCTGCAGTCGAAGAAAGGGCGCGACGCTATTCCACTCTGGCCACCACTCGGACGGTCACCGTGAGTCAAGTTGCCGACCTGTTGCGCCGCCTCCCTCTGCGCAAGGTACCGGGTGCGGACGGCGTGACGGCGGAACACCTCATCTATGGCTGTTCTCCTCCCCTGCTATCGGCACTGGCCCAGCTTCTATCGGCCTGTTTGTCTTCGTGCAATGTGCCGGCCACATTTGCAGAGAGCGTGGTAGTGCCTCTTCTGAAGAAATCCCAGCTTGATCCAAACAATCTGGACAACTACCGGCCTATTAGCCTGACATCGTGCACGTCGAAGCTGCTGGAGATGCTGTTGCTGGATGAACTTGAGGCCAGTTTCTGTCCGCACGACCTTCAGCTGGGATTCGTGAAACAGCGAGGCACCAGCGAAGCATCCATATTGGCCCTCGAGACCATTCAGTGGTGCCGACAACGAGATCTGCCAGTTTACGCGGCAAACTTGGACGCCAGGAAGTGTTTTGATAAGATCTGGCATGACGGGCTATTCCACCGTCTGGCGCAACACCTTCGTCCGAACTCATGGCTGCTCATGCTTGCCTGGTACCGCCGACTTCAGGCTCACATTGCCTTTGACGGTGCCATATCCGACTCATTCAGGATCCGCCGGGGCACCAGGCAAGGTGCTATTCTCTCGCCTATCCTAGCCAACGCCTACCTACACCCGCTCGTAGCCGCCTTGGACGTAAGCGATCTCGGTGCTGACCTATATGGTCACCACGTGCCAGCTGTCTGCTATGCCGATGATCTGCTACTCCTGTCCACCAATGCCAGAAACCTCAGCACTCTACTAGATGTGGTTGATGACTTTGCGAAGACCTGGAGGCTGGAGTTCGTCCACCCGGAGCCCGTCCGCACCAAAAGCCACTGCATGGTCTTCGGCGCCGAGCTTCTATCCGAAGTGCCAAGATGGAGCCTGTCGGGCCAGCAGCTCTCCACCCGCCAGCAGTCCGAGCACCTCGGTGTCGTACTGGATGGGAGTTTATCTGCGGCGCCACACGTCCAGCACCGCGCGTCTCGAGCTCGTGCCAGCCTGTACGGTCTCGCGCCTGCTGGTATGCTGACGTCCGGCCTCTGCCCAGCCGACAAGTGCTTCTTGTGGAAGACTATCATTCAACCGGCGCTCACATATGGCTGCGTGGCCGCCCCGCTCAATGCAAGGGACATGACGATCCTCTGTTCCGCTCAAGCGACTTCCATCAAGGTGGTTCTTGGCCTGCCTCGCTCCGCCCACCATTCGGCGCTTCTCGCTGCTGCCGACATCCAACCAGCACATGAACTGCTGCGGGCAGCGTGTTTCCGCACTTTGAAAGATGCGATGCGCTCAGAGCACCGGCTGCAGCAGGCGCTGCTGTCAGGAATCACCAAGCTGGCTATGTGCCCGACTGAGCTAGTGGGCTCATTACTGATACAGCTTCATGAGATGTGTGACTGCAACCTTTCTGCACTCCTCGGGGTGGCAGCAGGGCGGCCGTGCAGCGACCGTATCTACCCCCAACGGGCTCCCGATGGCCTAGCTGACTCGCTTGCCTTCCTGATGAGTCGCCGGGACCAAGTATCTCGCCGCCTGCTCCGGCTATTGACATGCCCGGAGCGGGAGTGAGTGTCGCCTGCGACATCAATGTGTGGCCCCTGCTCACCCACTGTCATGCTTTGTGTGATGTTTTGTGTGTGCCTTTTTTTTCTTACTTTCTTGCCAACTTTGGTGCCTAATAAACTATGATGATGATGATGATTGGCTGGTTGAACTGATTTAGCTGATGAGTTGAGGAAACTCTTTTGGAATGGCATGCAGCTCGGCATTGTGAAAGTCACTAATTTTCAAATATCAACGTCCTTGCAGTAAGAAGTTGCCCATGCTAGCAGGTTCATTGTTGAGAAGGCGGAACTCATACCTAATCTCATCTGCATGCCCGCGGTGCCTGCAAGATAATACATCTTAACATTTGCCAGTTTTCTAAATAGCGGTTTTGTTAAGGATTGCCTTGCTCATGCGATTTGTTGAGCACTAAAATTAAATCGTACATCCCTGGACGGTGCATATGCATGCCAGATCAGTGAACATGACTGGAGCCAGTAACGTTTGTCTCTACTGATCTGATGTAGTTTGTGTACCCTCACCATAATTATGCCCATAAATCACACATCAATATTTTTACTATCATGCATTTGAACTCTGTAATTTATCGTTCCCTGTTTATATCTAATGTTCCTTTTACCCACCTTTCGCACATATGTCAGTATTGTTGCGTATCGCCCTTCAGCGACTACAAAGTTGCTTTTTCAGAGTTGGCAATGGCTAGTATCGGACACTACATGAAGCATTGTAGCTCGGTGTATGTGATCCTATAACCTTTACGGTTCCTGTAGCCTCTGGGACCTCTGTTGAACCTATGACACTTTGACCCTGTGACCCGCTGACCTCTGGTCCCTGTTGGCCCACAGGGACAGCTGCACCTGTGGCGTGTGTCGGGCGACACTCGACAGCACAACATTTCACTACCGTTTGGAACCGAGTATCAGTTCGCCGTGTCTGCCAACTTCGCGGCCAACAACGAGACGGGGCTGCCGCCCAGCAGCAGTGGAATGGTGTGGTCACGCTGCTCCATCCCCTTCAGCCGAGGTCAGTCCGGGGGAGAGTGGGGAGGGGTGGGGAGAGGTGGGGAGAGAGGGAGGGGCTGTCGGGGTGAGAGGTGACACGAAATATGGAAACATAAAGAGCACGACAGGGTGATGAAAGGATTGTAAAGGCAGGCCAAATATGAAGTTTTAAAACGAATGGAAATGGTATGAGAGCCAAAGGACGCTCATGTGCTAGAAGGCAGTATTGTCACTTGTCATCGAGTGTCTATTACGGCGGAGTAGAATTATTGGCTGATGACACATCACACGGTCCTTACGGGTAGCAAACTGTAGGTAATCTGTATCATTTGTAAACGATGCTGAGTAGAGTGAATCAACCCCACTGGTGTACGAAGGGTAGTACGTTGTAAGCGGATTATAGTTACAGCCCTGCCTGCGGCAATATGTCACCGAGTGAGTGGGAAAGTGGTGGAAAGGGGTGGATATGTCCGTGCTCACCCGAGAGATTTGCTGATAGTGCACCAGTGCACAACATGAACGGCGTAGGAGTGACGTAGTGATGAACGGATATTATAGCACACAGATTTAGCTACACAGCTGCAGTTGCAGAGTTTAGCTAAACAACGCCAGCATGTGCAACGAACCTGCTAAATTTGTATTAGCCTATCTTACAGAAGGTACGGGTCGATTAAATACAGCCTTCGATGGGGGACGACAGACCTCAGGGCGCATGTTTACTCACACGGAGGCAGACGATCGATACGAATAGCACCGTCCATCGCCTGGCTACACACTAAACACATGGTACTTGTAGCCGCGCCTTCTGACATGTCGTTTGTATTCCATTTATTGCCAGCCGGGCGACGATATTGAATAGTTGATGACCCTCCGCATTCAGGCGGTGGTCAGGTGATCCAAGTCAACACGCTGCACTACCTGCTGTTTACCTGCTGTTGACCCACTGTCTGACCTGCTGTTGACCTTCCAGTGACCTTCTCTGACCTTCTGTCGACCCGCTGTCTGACCTTCCGTTGACCTTTTCTTGACCTATTGTTGACCTCCTCTGACCTGTTGACCCGCTGCTCCACAGACGGTGACCAGGTCATCCAGGGCCTGTCCGTCCGGACGGTCTCGGCTCGCTCAGTCACACTCTCCTGGAATGAAGACTGTGCCAGTCAGGTGACCGTGTCACGCGTGGTAGTCATCTTCTGTCGCATGATCGGCAGCAGGTGTCAAGGTGAGCGATCTCGTCTTCTGCAGGGTCTGAGGGAAGACTAGCAGCAGGGCAGTTGTGTTTTTTTCTCATATAGTCCGTAAATCGAGGCTTTCTTATAATGTTCTGCACTCGTTCCCATCGAGGACAATCTTTAAACTTGTTTGTCTTCCCGATAAATTACATTGAAAAGTCATATATGATATTCTCGTATTAATTTTGTCTGAACCGTCGGTGCTATTTGCATTCCTTGCTTAGGACATCATATATTTGGGTGTATTTATGTTTCTAAGGAGCTGCACTATATCTTGCAGCTGTGTCCTTTACATGTCTCACTCTGTCTGTCTCTCGGTGCCTCCCCAGGAGAGGAGACGACTCGCGAGGTGAACCGCACCAGTCCATCCAGTGTGCAGCTGACCGGGCTCCGGCCGTACACAAAGTACCGGGTCTCCCTGGCCCAACTGGCGGAGGATGGCAAACAGGGTCCCCGCAGCCTGCCTCAGGTGGCCCAGACGCTCCAGGACAGGCCCGAGCCGCCTCTGGGCGTGGAGGTAAGGTGGCGCGGGCCGCACCAGACGATTATGCGGCCGTCTTCTGTTTTTTGTTTGTTTTTAGCTGATTTGATCCGTGCTGTAAAAAGAAAAGAAAACACCGAAGTCACATTCGAAAGTGAGCCTTTATATTGCAAGTCGCCCGATATTTTTTTCCGTTTTCTATTTCCCGGCTAAATGTTGTCTGTAAGTCGCATCCCTCAACGGCTATCCAGGGAACCGTTTTTTTTTCTTCTTATGATTGATAGCAGCAGGTGCCTTTTTTCATAATCGGCAGCAGATGCCAAGGTGGACTGTTTTCACATCTCAGCTTGTGTGATAGTGTGTGGCTTCTGCACGAATTATCAGCTAAATATGTTAATGTGCAGTTCCGTTTTCCTCCAACAGGTGGCAGCAGCGACCAACACCAGCCTAACGGTTTCCTGGCGGCCGCCTCTGTGGCCCAACGGCCCCATGCGCCGGTACGAGGTGCGCGTCACGGGCGGCGTGACGGTGAACGTGACGGCCAACGTCACCTCGGTGACGGTCACCGCGCTGCGGCCGTTCACCGAGTATGAGTTGACGGTGCGCGCGTGCAACATGATCTGGATGTCAGTGGGCTGCAGCCGTCCCACGGAGCCCGTCACTGGCCGAACACTGACCGGCGGTGAGTGACACAACATGGGAACATATTTAGGACACGGAACAATTTTATTTAAGCATTAGCCCATCCATACGGGCCGGCATCGGCACAGCATCGTCTTTAAAGCGATCAACTGCCTACGTGTAGAGCAGAACGCATACAAAATCCACAGTTCACATGGCCACGATCCGCTCAACACGAAATGTATTAACCATCACATAATGATCACCCGACAACCACAGACGATTGTGGACAAAGTAAAAATATAATGTAGAATTATGGCTCAAAATATGTATATTACTGGATTGTGGTGCAAGATCACCTTCCTATATGAGATGCCGTTTATCGTTTGTCTTTTTCCTGTTAGTCTTCAATAACCCGAGCAAGCTGAAGGAGGGCGAGGCAGCTAAGACTGCCTCGCCCTCGTTCAGCTTGACGTGACCCTTCCTGTCGCCCCCTGGTGACATCACCTCCCCCTCTGTGTCCGACCAGTACCCGGTGAGATGGAGCCTCTGCGTACTCGCCTTCTGAACACCTCTGCGGTGCTGGTCCGCTGGCGGCCGCCGCTGGAGCCGGGAGGACCGCAGCTCGTCTACTATCTACGCACTGTGTCGGAGGTGGATGGCGTCAACTACACGCAGCCGGACACGGAGATGACCGGTGAGCGCACTGTGCGGACTTAGCGGCATTGTGAGCCGACGCGGAATCATTTATCTGATTAAAAAGGGCGCCTTTATGTAAGTGCCTGATGGCAGTTAATTCATCAGCTTCGGTATTTTTGCGTTCAGTGTCTTATCTTTACATTTTTCATTGGTCTTTTGATGGGGTGGATCGTGAACGGGCGATCTGGCTTGACAAATATGGAATTCAGGAAACGAGTTTGCCAAGACAGCCATCAGTCTATAAATCATGGCGTGTATTTCATGGGTAACCAGCCTGAACTACCGGCTCATAAACCACTGGACGATCACCTCGGGAAAGCTAGCAGCCATCTCTCGTCACGAGCTGCTGTTGGACCACTTCCCTGACCTGTCTCCACCCGTGATTTGCTGCTAACAGGTGATCAATTGGAGGCGGAGGAGCAGCTGGCGCATGCCTGTCGCTCGGGCGCCCGCTCGCAGCGACATCTATTCTGGGTGCGCGCTGGCACGGTGCTGCCATCTGGAGAGGTCCTGCTGGGAGCGTGGTCGGAGCCGGCGGAACAGAACTGCGTGCTGACCTCCGAGTGGCCGCTGGCTGCCGTGCTCGGCCTGGTGGCTGGGGGTCTCCTGCTGATGGCGCTGGCCGTGCTCGTCTTCTGCCTCTGCAGTCGCACTAAACGCAAGTGGGTCAAGATGAGGGACATCGGCGTGAACCTACCATCGGGTTTGGAGCGGCCCGACAAGGGGCTGCACGGGTTCCGGAGCTCGGACACACGTTCCGGCCCGGTGTCGGCCGGCTACGGACGGCTCGTCAGCCAGACTGGCGAGAGCGGAGGCACCTCTGGACGACCGGTGAGAGTGGGGAGGGAAAGAGAGCGGAGGGTGAGAGAGGAACGAGTAAAACAGACCGGGTGGATGGCCATGCATAATACGAGATAACAGAAACGTGTAAACAAACGTCGGTCAAACAAAAACAAGGAGAGCAGGCTACAAAAAGAGGTTGCGACCTGCAAACCAGGTCACCGATCACGTTAACGCTGTTTTGTCAACATCTTTCTCACCATGAACGTTTGTGGCTGTGGGCACTATCCATCGTGTTTTTACACCGGCTGTCAGTGCTGCCGTCTGTGTTTGGGTTTGGCCGGGTTTTTCTGGCTGCTGCTGACAGCGTGTTGTGTGTGTGTGTGTGTTTTACCAGCTGCTGCAGGAGGAGGCGGTGCCGGTGGGCACGACGGGTCTCTCTGAGGACACTCTGCCGTCCACGGCTACTGATAGTAACAGCTGCTCGTCAGGCGCCACCAACTACACGGACTCCGGGGCCGAGTCCGAAAAGGTATGGAGCGTCATCGGGGGTGATGGAAGCGCTAGAGGGTGTAACTTCAAACAATGTGTTTTTTTTTGCGAGAACTCTTTTCACTCAAGTGCATCGGGTTGTAACTTTAGCTTGCTTAGGTTCTGACCGATTATGTTGGTGTATTTCCATTCATCGAATTATCCCTGAAAGGTTTGATGTCATGTATAGCTGACGGTGAGTGGATTTGGTGACTGACGGCGCCCCGTTCGCTGCAGGTGGGCTCGCCGACCTACGAGCGGCTGCCGTGGCCGGCCGGCTCGCCGCACCTGGCGCCGTACGTGCAGGCCGGTGGGCCGGGCTCGCCGCCGTCCGGAGCGCCCGTCTACCCCCAGTTCTCGCCGTACGTGGACGCCACGGCCATCCAGTCACTGCTGGCCGGCGGCGGCGTGTCGGCGCTGCCCAAGGACTCCGGCGAGCCGGCCCAGGTGAGCCGCTCCGAGCCGGACCTCAGCTCGGCCTCTGCGGCCGTGCAGGGCCCTTCGCTGCCCTACAGCCGGGTGGGGCTGCGCTCTAGCGCCGGCTACGTCAGCATGACGTCGGATGAGGCGCTGCCGCCGCCGCCGCCGCCTGCCGAGAAGGTGCCGCCGCCGGAGCAGCCGTACGTGGCGCTCGGACCGACACCGCCGGCGTCCTCTGCGGCCGGGTTCCCGCCGTACGTGCTGGCCGGGCTGTCAGCAGAGGACTGCGAGCCGTACACGGTACAGCCGAGTCAGAGCTACACCCCGGCCGCGCAGCCGGCGCGCTCCAGCGCCTATGTGACCCACGACAAACTGCAGCCGGCGGGCATCGAGCTGCGCGACATGAGCGCCGCCGACGCGTCACCCGACGACGAGAGTGACAGCGCCGAGCCGGTGCTGTCGCCCAAAAAACTGGCCACCGTGGTGTCGGCGCGCGAGCCGTACTGTCGGGTAGTGACACAACACCAGGCTGCGGCGGACCTGGGCCCGAATGTGTCGATGGTGTGAGACCGCCGGCCGCCGGCCGCCGCTCGGCCCGTCAGTACAAAGAACGCTACGCGCGCGCGACTCTCTCGATCAGAGACAATATCAAATCAGGGTGCTGCCGGCCCTCCAGGGAACGGCGTCTCGGCGGATATGAGGTATGAGTGAAAATAGAGTGAATTCGGGAGGAGTGTGTGGCGAAAAGTGCAATGACCGCTGTGGTTTGAATTTATTGGCGCACGCCTGTGTTAAATGGAGACCGTTATGTGATATGTCTTGAATCAGAATCTTTTGCATTTTGCGGTGGTATGGCGTTTGATGTAGCGACACGACATGACCTTAGCAAGACGGGGGCAGCGCGGGCTCACCGTCCTGAGAGTGCTAGTTGGCTATAGATGTTTTATTAGTCGCTAGTCGGTTGGCCGGCTGGGCTGTTGGATTTCTCAGTGGTGCCTTCGGCTTTTAGCCCGGGTAATTCGGAGATATGCTGATCTGTTTGCCACCGTTACCACTGTGTGTGTTTAGGTACTATGCAGTTTACCATTTGTTTTATTCAGTCGGCCGCCGGCGCTGGCGGCCCGACCCGTTGTGTCTTCCGTGCGCGCTGGCAGTTTGCTATTTGGGCACCAAGTCGGTCTCCATAAGAGACATTCCGGCGCCGTGCGGCAGCGAGTCGTGAGGTCACGAGACGCCGCCGCGCGGCGGCCCGACCGTTACCGTTTGCTCAACGCCGCCTTATGGTCTGAGGATGTGATATGCTAGCTAGCGGAAGGAGTGGTGGGTGCGCCTGGGGACCGGCTGGGATGTGGGGATCTCACCCGCCCCGGCGGGGCTCTGACGATAATCAAAATGGCGTCCGGAGCGCGGCTCTGGCCGGCGCCTGGCTGTCCGCGCCTGGCCAGGGAGGGGGAGAGGGGCGCGATGGAGTGCTGGGAGAAAACATGACTGTTACCTGCTCTGTGCGCGAGCGATACTGGTCCAAAATGTGGCGTGCAGACGCAATAAATGACATGGCTCTGGTTCGCTTCTGTGAGGGAATGAGTACCTCCACCGTAAACATGCTGTTTCATTTAGCTCGACTGTTTAAAGGAAGCAGGAGCTTGCTGCACCCTCGCTTGGTGAAACTGTTGCGCAACCAAACCAGTTTTTGATATCAGGTACAAAGCGATATTTTAGACGATAACAGAAAATACCCTATAATTTGGATGGAACACTCAGTTTTTAAACTTAAAATAGAAAATATAGATAGTTAAAAGAACAGCAAATACCTGAAGTAAGTCTTAAGCATTAGTCTTATTATTTAAGACTCAACATCAAATCAGTTATAATCAACAATCAACATCAACTATTTCTGCTTCCAACCATACGAGAACGTTCGCTACTTACATTCTAGCTCATAGATGACGCTAGCTGTCGACGCCTGCAGTTACGCTGTACCGCAATACACGGCTGCTGACGTAGGAAACACAAACTAACTCCTATATTCTGGCTCACAGATGCCGCTAGCTGTAAACACCTGCAGACTGCAGTTATGCTGTGCCGCAGTACATGACGGCTGACGTAGGCACTACGCTTACATTCCTAAGCATAGATGTCGCTAGTTGTCAACGCCTGCAGGTATGCTGTACCGCAATGCACAGCCGCTGGCGTAAGCACTGCACTTACATTCCTGATGATAGATGGCGCTAGCTGTAAGCGCCTGTGTGCATGCTGTGCCGCAGCACACCCCCGGCCGATCGTCGGCCTGGGAGAGGGGTCCGGGGCCCGGCGGGCTGAGTGTTTCAACGTGAATGTTTTCGGAGCATGTTTTTACCCAGTCGTTTTGATTACTGAAGGCAGACAAAGAGGAAGCATATATATTGAGACAAACAATACCCACACTACACACGCTGATCACTTCAACTGTCTTATCCGTAGACTGTGGTTTACTGGACGCATATACTCTCCGTGAACTGTTAGCATAGCAGTAATCTAATCAAGGAATGACATGTCTCGCTTGCCCCAGCTGTCCTACTGTCTCCCTCTCCTCTCCCCTCCCCTACCCGTTGTCTCTCGAGCCGCGGACCGTGGCGTCGGCCGGCCGATCGGTGTCAGATGTCGGCTCAGGTTCCCCCGGGGCGCTGTGTGTCGACCGAGCCCTGGGCGTCAGTCAGCGGCGCACTCTGACCAGTCTCTGTTCGGTAGAGGTAGCAGTGAGCTGTGTTTGAGAGTGCGGGCTGCTGAGTGCATTTGTGGTGGAGGTGCCGATTCTGCCGAATGTTGTTTGCACAGCTGAGGACAACTGAGATTGACCTGCAGTGGCGGACAGCGATCATCTACACCAGATCAGTGTGATCAGGACAATCGTGTTTTATCTGTGGTGTCGATTGGCGCCCTCAGCCTGTGCGATCGCAGGGGAGAGTAGACATTGTGACTGCGCAGAAAAGGGTAACTGTTACTGAATTCGGACGGTGGTTACAACCGATGGTCTTGTTGGCTCGTAGAGCGGCACTAGACTCACTGATTACGTGTCGGACTCTGCCGAGTTTATTGCGAAAAGTGAAAATGCCTCCGAAGAAACAGGAGTCCGCGAAACAGATCCAAGCTCGGTCCGGCTCGTCTCGGCGAGAATCGCGCAGAAATGGCGCTTCAAATGTACGTCAAGCAACACCACGACTCACCAAAAATCAGGTGCATTCCGCACGTAATGCTGTTGCAGAATTGCGTGCTCCAGTGATGACCACACGCTCAAAATCTCGTGCAGCTGCTGTTAACGCCAAAAGTCTAAACACTAATGATTCGAAGGTATCGTCGTATTCAAAACGAGCTCAAAACCAAAGCCATAGCACAGGAACAGCTCAGTCGGTCGGATCAAAGAAGACAGCTATAAACAAATTAGCAACCTCTTTTGGTCGATCTGGACCCCCAAAAAGAGCATTTAGAGTCACCGGCACTGAAGAAGAAGCCACTTCAGTCAGACGCAAGTCTCAGCGTCTGACGTCACTGATGACGTCACCTTTGTCGTCCCGAAGGCTGTCGCCCGGTGCTTCATGTGTTTGCTGTGCCAGTGAAACGGCTAATCGAGGGCGGGGTCGAAAAGGACTGAAGAACAAGATCGAGTGTGACAGGCAGGTGACTTCAATGAAACAGGCGCTGTCAAAGAGCCCGGAATGTAGAGGTAAGCAAGGTAAAGTGAAAACAGGCAGCACGAAGAAAACTCGTGCTTCCAAGAAATCATGGAAAAGGGCTGACGAGGTTCAGAAGGCTAGCAGCATCGGAAAACGGGTGAAGAACAGAGGATCGCAAAAGGCCCAAAAGGACTCCCTCGGTTCCCCTGTGCCTATCAAGTCCCTGCGCCCTCGGGGTCGGCCGAGAAAGGGCACCGCTGTCAGACCCTGGCCGGACGGTCCGGTGAATATCCGACCCGACAGTCTGCTGCTCAGGAGCCACGCGCCGGTCTGCCCGGACCCGGACCCGGACCCGGGGCTGGCGCGCCGGCTGACCTCCCGGCGGCCCGTGCACGACATGTGCTCCATCTGTGGTCTGGAGGAGCCCCGCTTCCCGGCGCTGAGGCAGCACGTGCTGCTGGAGCACGGTCTGCACACATGCGGACGGTGCCGGCTGTGCTTCAGTTCCAGGGGACGGCTGCTGAGACACCGCCAACTGGCCAACGAGCCGCTAGGCGGCGCTGCAGAGCTGCCGTCAAACGTCACTTCTAGCGGCCAGAGAGGCATCACAGGACAGGGTAAGTCGGCCCTGGTGAACGGCCGTGACAATGTCTCTGGAGAGCTGTGTGTTAAAACGGAAAAAGATGGAGCACTTGTTACATTCTTCATCGCTGGTATCCTGTGTCATGTTACTCTCGTATTTATGCTGCAAGTGCCGAAGGATCCTCGAGACACTCAAAGTCTGTCTCAGGATGAGGACCCGACGAGGCGGGTCGTCCCACAGGAGGTCCATGTCGCAAAGCACAGGTGCCTGAGTGGCACCAGACAGTCTGTGGAAAGCACAGCCCACCATTTTGAACTTGCCCATTCACGCAGCAGGGTTCCTTTCTCGGAGATAGTGAAGCAGAGCCTTGACATGCTTCCATAGAGGGCTGCCGTTGGCTGCAGAAGCGGCATATTGTAGATAGCGAGCTGATTTAGTTTGAGTGCTAGTCGAAGGAAATAGTGAGTGACGAATAGGGAGCCATATTCGTCTTTGTTCAGCCCTGAACAAAGACGATCGATGCCGTCATCGATGCCGTTACCATGGAGAATATGCCTGTTAAATGTTTTCGCATTTCCGTGCATTTTCCATTGTTTACATGCCGCATTTTATTACGACCTCTCAGTTACGTACGACTTATCTGATGCGAACGAGCCTTGTAGAATAACTGCTTCCGATTCTTCTCATATCGGGCATCACTCTGTTCTAGGATCATAATTACCAGAACCAATTTCAATAAACTGCTGCTTTGTCTGTTACATTATTATTTTATTTTCACCAACGTGAAAACGTCTGACAGCCATATATTGTCTTGTGAATGGGACCCATACAGGTACAGCCCTCTGCAAACTGCGTGGTAGGTATTCTTTTTTCGACAAAACCGCGAATAACGCGAATACTATGCTAACGGTCACTCGGAAATCGTAACAGCAATACGCGTGAGACTCCGCACCTTAGATTGGGCTTATTTTGGTATACATTTTCCATCTAGTTTGGCAGCAACACACGCAAGTTTATATTTGCCCCCAAAACAAACTTTTGCATTTTGTTGCTACACTAGGCGTATACTTTGTTCGGTGATAGAACCAATCGAAGGAGTGGAGCATGGCGCATCTATATGCAATGAGATCCGACCGACTGATAACATAGCCTTTCAGTTATTATCAGTTTTGTCGAACAAAGAATACCTACCACGCAGTTTGCAGAGGGCTGTACATCGATGAGGGAAGTGTCCACAGCGGATTACAAATACGATTATCAGCGGGATCTGCACCGTTGGGGACGAAGTCAATAAAAAGTTACATCAATGTCACTAGTTGCGCCAATAACGTATAAAAAACGGTTACAATTATTGAACAATTCGGTACACAATATACATGTGGCTACAAGATCGTCAATTCATGTGGGTGCGTTTTCAAGTGTATCCAATGGCATATCATTGAGTCAAACCACGTGTTTGGTTTGCTGAGTTCCCATAAATGGTCAACATGCATGCACAGAAATAATTGGTTCCACCGGCCATCTGTGGATGTAATACTGTTGTAGAAGGCTTGTTCCCTCCGCTATATGATTGGGCACCGGTACATGCTAGAGACGGCAGTGGCTCTACCGTATACCAGACCGTGGTGACATCACTTAATCGTGTGTCTGCCTCAATAACAGAGACACGTAAGTCCTGCGAACTGTGACAGTATCCCCACTGGGTGTCAAAACTACAGGCTGCAGCGTCCATGTTTACCGGCTGTGTGGACTATAGGTGTGCGTCGTCACCTTTCCACGAGTAGCTTCCCGTGTAGCGGAATCCGAGTCCCCGGCTCAGTTCATCGGCCTCTGCTGGTCCGCGGGAACCATACCTGCAGAAACAAAGCGTGACTGTGTATTAGGTACAGGAGTAAACCGTAGCTGGTGACCGGAGCTGGCGCCCTAGTGTCGTGTTCAAGCTTTACAAGATAGGTCACTTAAGAATTCATATTTATTTTTTTTCAATATTTTAAACTTTATTTACACAACATCACAACATTCCAGTAAATTCCAGTCCAAATCGCTTTGCAAATCATTACCCCATTTTATTTGTGACTTGAAAAAAGAATTCATATTTAATGAAATATGTACCCAAATAAGGCACGCTTCCATTCGATAGGTTTATTTTGGTTGATGGCATCCGTAGCGTTGCAAGGTTAAACGTGAACAATTGGAGTCACAGATCGTATTCCTTTGCGCATACCTGTACGGCACTGGTTTGGGTTTCTGTTCATCTATGACGTGCAGCAGGGGTGTAAATATCCTCCAGGCGTGCTCCAGCTCGTCAGAGCGCACAAAATGCATCTGAGCGCCGCAGAACACATCCAGAAGTAGGCGCTCGTACGCGTCCGGCAGCTTCAGATCCTGCAGCGACGGTGCAGCTCGTCAGCCACGTACAGACTCATTGGTTCAGACGAAAATAGGCAAGCTTTGGTAAGGAGAACTACATTGTTTTGGTTTGTTGGGCCACAAAGGCGTCTAAGTATATTCAAAGAAAACTGCACGATGAAGCTGTCAATCATTATTCTTGTTTGCCATTTGACTTTTTTTTCCTTTCGGCTACCATTAGTGTCCACTGCAGCTCACCTTATAGCGTGCAGAGTAGGTGAGGTCCAGCTCGGTCTCCTCCATGTCGAACGTCATGCCGGGCCGCTTGGTCATCATTTTGACGTAGACGGCCTCGCCGGGCTGCAGCCGGATGACCAGCTCGTTCCGGTGCACCTGTCCGCGGAATATGTCGCCGGCCACGTCGCGGTACTGCAGGCGAACCTCGGCCTTCCGCTCGTTCAGCGCTGCCGTGGAAAGAAACGGTCACCGTAGTCGATTGGAGGGGTCATGTACCGATATTCCTTCGTTTGTCACTTCTCAGATACTGTGGGGCTTCACGTACGGTTTTGGTATTAATATTGTAAGTCAAACATCTTGTCATATAGTGTCATCACAATACATTCACAACAAAATCTCGCAAAAGAATAAGCATCGCTAAATATCCAAAACGGCTGATTAGATTCCTTGCTTCTCAGTGTGCTTCGTCTTCTTCACGACCGACCTTTTCCGCAGCGGAGGATGAACGGCACCCCCTCCCAGCGTTCGTTGTCGATGCGCAGGACGGCTGCCGCGAATGTAGGCGTCACAGAGTCCTGTTACAATTCACGGACAGGGACAACGTCAGAACGAGGTGAGCGGTAATGTCTGAATCATTATTCCATTGGCAGGATCAATACATCAATACTCTGAGGGCCATCATTACGGAGTCGATTAAGTAGCGTGCCATGGTATTTGTTCAGTGCACGCGAATGGTCATAATTATGTCCTTTGGGAATCAGATATCTAACAGGGGACCGCGCTAATAACGCACCTTGGGCACGGTCGGGTCGTCCAGGTACCCCTGTCTGGCGTCGCCGTCACCGTGAGGGTCACCCACATACTGGCCAAGAACGACGTCCTCCAGGCCGAGCTGGCGGGTGCACTTGAGCACTTTGACCTGTACATGAAATACAGGATAGAATAGGCACGTGACATATGAAAATCGAGGTGCATCCTATGGTTTTGTGACGGATATAGGGAAGTTTTTTAACACCCCAGAATAGTGGATAGACGAATAATGTATTTAAATGGAAAGCGTTGCAAAAACATTGCTTGCACATTGATTGATGGTTTCAAACAATATTATAAAATTAGAGGTGATGTGACCTTTTCGTCGCGGATATCGGGGGCGGCCGTGGAGCACGGCTTCTCCATCGCAACGAGGCAGAGGATCTGCAGCAGGTGGTTCTGCATCACATCCCTGAAACGGAGCCGTCGACACTGGCCGTAAGACGTGCGTGGACAGCGAGGACATTTTATGTATTCAACGAAATTGGGAAGCCAGCAACACACGCATAATCGTTTTTTTTTTTTTGTCTTTTGACTTATCTGGTTTGGTTTCGGTGAAAGACAGAATGACGTTTTTAGAATCATATTTTTGTGACAACTATTTTTCAGAATCATAACATTTAACAACTTCAGTCCTTTAGCCGATGTCTAATGTTCTTTTTTATCTCCTGTTAATGGATCTCACCCAGGATACTGATATGGTGTTGTGCTGTTCTAATTACCTGATGATTCCGAACTGGTCGAAATAGCCGCCACGTCCCTTGGTTCCGAAAGGCTCCTTGAACGTGATAGTGACGCAGGCCAGGTGGTTCCGGTTCCACGTGGGCTCGAATAGCACGTTACCAAATCTGCACGACAAACATCGAGCTGACGGTCAGCTCTCTGCAAATTAATGCCGGCCTAACACCTTTTTGAAACACATGCATGATTGCTTTGACTTTTTAATAGCGTTTTAAAGCATTTAACGCACGGTAAAGCATGTAATGCTGGAAATTCAGCCAGTATTATCACTAGTCTTCGAGTCTCACCTCAGGGTCATCAGGTTCTGCACCATCTCCTTGCCCAGGTAGTGGTCGATCCGGTAGATCTGTGACTCGGTAAACAGAGACGAGAGGTGGGCAGACAGTTGGGCCGAGCTGGCCGCGTCGCGTCCGAATGGCTTCTCCACAATGATACGGCTCCAGCCCGGGCTGCCGAGGAAATAGCGCTGCTATCAGTGCAGGAATTGCATTTCGACGGTTTATTTTAGGAAGGTGCCTACCTACACTTGATATTGAAAAAAGAGTCGCGCGTTTGGGAACACTGTCAATTGCCTATTGTCACTGCTAATGATCAGCCTATGTGTAAGTCGGTATGCTGCATTGTCATCCCAAAACCATGCCATTCTTTCGGGGGGCCGGCTCGACAAAAAGGCACAAAGATGAACAAAAAAATATGTCAGAGAGTGACCTTTTACCTAAACTGGCACCTAGCACCATCGTTTGTGTTAAAAATATCGGAGCTGTTGTAAACAAAAAAACTTTACTCCCACTCCTTGATGGAATTTATGCTGGATCGCTTACTTTGTGGCCATACAGTGGCGCGCTATGCCGCTGGTGACGTCACCAAACACGGACGGCGGGAGCGCCAGGTAGAACAGACGATTTCCGGTGGCTTCTGTTTCCAGCGCCGAGATGGCCTCACTGAGCGCATCGAACGCCGCAGGGTCGTCGTACGCGCCCGAGACGTACTGATTGACAGACCAGAACTGCTCGTACCGCTCCCGGTCTTCAGAGCGCACCTGGCAGAGGGGAAAATAGTTTGAGACGTTGCTCATTTCGACACGTAACTAGTTATAAAAAAACTAGTAACGCTCACTAGTATAGCTAGTGAGCTAGTTATAGCTAGATAAATGTTTCTTATGCAGACAGTTGATATTAAGAGCATATGCAATCGGACAAATGCGCATAATAAGGGAGTAATGTGTAGAGCATCGTCCCCTAATCCGTTTGTAACGCGCATTTACGTTGTTCCTGTGTCTGAGCAGCCATGCAATAACCAAACTATGTTTAATGTTGCGTCCCCACTTATGAATCTGCCTGTACACCTGCATAACTTCTTGCAGAACTTCTAAGCCTGGCTCACCTTCATGAATTTGTCGCATTTCTCTCGGATGTCGCTGACCTTGAGTTTTGACCGCGCATAGCCAACAATGCTTGTGTTTTCTGGTAGCAGCTTATCTCGGAAAAGCCACCAGATGGCAGGATAGATTTTCTTCTTGGCTAAATCACCCTGGAAAGAAGTTTTCTTTTCACATTTTGTACCCAGCTCAAGCAGCACTTAACATACATAAAAAGCAAGTTTGCATAGCTATAACAATATCTCTTAACCCGCGCATGACTGGGGGGTGGGGGGCTCTACAAAGCCCCCCTCCCGTTTTTCAGCAATATATTCTAAGCCGTTTCACGAATCAACACGAAACTTGCAGTACCCTCAGCAACATCAATTTGACACCTTGTGTTAAAACTTCAACTTTCTAGCTACCATGTTTTTGCCGGAAATGACGTCAGAGTGACGTCATGTCGGCCGATTTTGATGCAAAATATTGAATTACGGCAAACGCTCTCAAGAGCTTAGTTTTTTACCCTCGCCCGCACATGGGGGGGGGGGGGGTGCCACCATCCCCCCCTCAGGTAGTCTTTCTGCTCTGCACTCAACATTTTTAGAGCTAGAAGGCTGATTTTTCGTATAGCTGCTTCTCTATCCATTCTTAACCCGCGCACCGACGGGGGTCTGCGCCAACTTCGCACTGACGGGGGGGGGGGGCGGATGACCGCCCCCCTGAGATCTCGAGAACGAAGCAAGATAGCGACAAGCGGTAAACGGCATCGGATACGCACGGACAAGGTCTACAATTTTTTTAAAGGTCATTTTCAGGTCAGGTCAAAGATGACGTCACAGGGTTCGAAAAGTCAAAATGGCGGCGCTACACAGATATGGAGAGAGTTTTTCTCGAATAACTTTCGAATTAGTCAAGATAGTAACAAACTAAGGGCATCATCGTGATCCTCTCGTCAATCCGCATCGAATGATATACATGTTGACCTCGAAAGGTCAAGGTCAAAGGTTGACCTCAGGTCACGTGACCTCGAGGTCATCATGTATATCATTCGATGCGTCTTGACGAGCTGAACACAATGAGACCATCCGCGCGGCTGCATCTTGTTCCTGTACGGAGTTATTGACAAAAAACCTTGGGTGACTTTTGATAACGTCACATGACCTTACAGCTGCCCAACAGCAAAACAGGCTTTAACCCGCGCCCTGATGGGGGGGGGCCATTTTGGCCCCCCCCTGTGGTTTTTCCTAAATAGCGAGAAAACGGCGGCGCGCAGCGCCGCCAAATTTTGGGTACCTTACCGGACATCAATTTGACACCTTCACACAAAATTTCAAGTCACAGGTCACCTCAGGTCAGGAGTTATTGAGGTCAAACTGAGGTCATGTTCGAGAAAAAATGAGCAAAAAACATGACATCTTGAAACGCTCACCAATTCTACAGTTCACAAGCAATTTTAAAGTTCTTTATGTGGTTGTGTAGCGAAAAAACGGCGCTACAAAACTGCTATCTCGGATTTTTGAAATTTTTGGATTTTGACCCCAAAAAATCAAAAAAATTGATTTTTTTAGAAAAACTCAAAAAATTTCCAAATTTTTTTCGAATTTCGAAAAAAAACGGAATATATGTGATAGTCCCTGCGCTCTTCGATATACATACCAAATTTTAGATCGATAGCTCTTTTTTTGGCCAAGTTATAGCGAAAAAACTGTTAAAAATTGATGACGTCAAATTTTTGAACTCAATTTTTAGCAATTCTAGACCTCTTAGCGCAAAACAGAGACCACCATTGAACTCCCCGTGACGAGCTGCATCGAATCGATACCCATTTTATGCAAAAATATCAACTTTGAAATTTGACCTAATTTGACCTGACCTTGACCTGACCTTGACCTGACCTTGACCAAAACGTGACCTAAGCTGGCCCTAAAGTCTATCTGACCCACATAATCGCATTTGTCATGTAAAATGGACCATAAAAAATGTATCATACGACACTTTCATATTGTGACCCCCCAGTGACCTGACCTCTGTGACCTGACCTGGTATCAGTGACCTCAAATAGCAAAATATGTGTTTGAAGAACATTTCCCCATCGATGATTTTCAATGAAATGCATTTTACACGATTTTACAACGCATTTCTTGAAATGCCTGTAAACGGTGAAAATTCGACCTTTGACCTGACCTGTGACGTCATCGGTTTGACCGAGGTCAATGAAATTGGGTCACAAGGTAGTTCCCTGTTGGGGCTATCCAACACCGTTTACCGCTTGTCGCTATGCTGCGTGGTTCTCGAGATCTGAGGGGGGGGCCAAAATGCCCCCCCCCCCATCAGACCGCGTTGCTCGGCAGACCCCATCTGGGCGCGGGTTAAGGTAGTGAAGGTTGATCGTATATGAAGCCATGTATGGTATATGGGACCATTCCGACCCGTTTTAGTGGTAAAAACAGGGAGTTGATTTTTCCCCCATTGACTTATAATGGGGAGGTCGCGAAATTGACCTGACCTTAGGTCACCGACATCAAAATTCCGAGATATAAACATTGTAGCTACTAATGACCTAATAACATCCTGCGACTTTCAAAGGCCTTCGACATAATCGACATCTTGATCTACTGTAGCTCTGGCACGGTGACAAAGTTGCAAAAAAGTGACTTGAGGTTGGCTCATTCAAAGTGACCTGTTGACCTGACCTTAAAAGCTAGGAGGTTCAAACTTGCACACCATGTGTAAAATTGATGAGAAAATAGTCCTACCAAATTTCGCGGCGCTACGCGCCGTGGTTTTCCCGCTGTCCGCGAAAAACCTCAGGGGGATATCCGCCCCCCCGTCGGTGCGCGGGTTAATGTCCACTGAACATTTCAAGTTTCTGTGATTTTTGGTTTCGGAGATATGACCTGGTTTTTCAGGTCATGTCATGACCCAAATGGCCAATTCTCAACATCTTGCGTTGGCTATGGGCCTTGTGAGCTTTTGACACCTTGATTTCGACCTTTTTTGCCAGTCCTACCTCCCACCTATCATGGAACATGTTGTTCGACGATGTACAGATGTCAAGGTCAGGGTCAAGGTCAACCTAGGTCATCTAAGATAATTGCGTTTTAGGCAAGCTGAATTTACTTTTTGTGAAGTTCTTTGACTGCATTTTTGGTAAAAGCTTCTCAGATCGTGACTTCATGTAATATGGACACATAAACAATCGGTGCACAAATCAGTATACACACAGACACACACAGACATACAAACACATGATATTGACCTTGACCTAACTTGACCTGAAATGACCTCAGCAGCAAAAACCTGGTCGGGTAGTGTGACAAAGAGGTTCTAGCTGGCTTGGCACCAGAAAACGGCATCGTCATCGGTAGGTATATGATAGCAGCGCACTTGACAGCACACAACATTTTTTAGTTTGACCTGACCTGGAAGGTCAACGACTGATCTGAGAAGGTAAAACTGGGTATCATTGGATTCGTCTTTTCCCCCAAAGAATCTTTTTGGTCTTTACCGCTAAGTTCTATCTCCAACAGGAACGAAATTGCGCGGGGGTGACAACCCCCCCCCCCCCATGTGCGTTCTAGGATGGGAAAATGGCATGTGCGGGCGAGGGTTAAGCCAGATCCAATTTCTTTGCATCAGTGGACTACAAATACACGTAGCTATGGAACTGCTATCTCGAATTTTCGAAATTTTGAAAATTTTGAAAAATGTCTTTACTATTACAAAAAAAATATTTTCTGATTTTTTTTTCAAAAAGTTTTTGCTTTTTCGCAAATAAACGGAATATATGTGATGGAACACACACTGATGAATTTCTCTAGCAAGTTGTAGCGCAATATCTTCAAAAATAGCCAAGTTATTCGCATTATTGTCAAAATTTTACAATTATTTTCCAAAGTATTTTTTCAGTACGTTTTTGACATCGTACTGCAATAAAAATGACACCATCGTGTTCCTTAGCTCAAACTGCATCTGATAGGCACCTTTTTTGTTGAAAAATTAATTTCTAAAATTTGACCTTTTCTGACCTGAAATTGACCTGACCTCCGGTAAATGCAGCTGAAAATTACCTCAAATGACACAGACGACATTATTTTCGAAATCAGCGTGTAAAATAGACCATAAAACATGCGTCACGTGACCGATACATGATATACAATTTTCGTGACCTAGGATGACCTGGCCTTGACCTGAAAAATTCGAATTAAAAGTTTGTTACCCCCAGGGTATCTAAGGCATATATCAAGGAGTGCGTAAACCAAAAATGAGCCTGATCGGACTTGTCAGCCGGCGGCCAGAGCCTAAATTGTAAACAAGCAAAAACACCTATAACTTTCACTTTGACCTGACTTGTGACGTCATCGGTGACCTCGAGGCCAATGAAAATAGGTTTCGCTTGACAGTTTTTCCAAGGCTATCAGACGCCGTTTGAATTTTGACGATCGGCCCAGTAGTGTCGGAGATATAGGAGGGGGGGGGGGGGCTCTGGAGAGCCCCCTCAGTCACTCGCGTTATGGAAAATACCCCAGTCATTCGCGGGTTAATGTTAACCTCACTCCACCACACAAACCGGTGGCAGCTCTTCGCAATTCTTACCGACGCTCCCATGATGACAAACACGTGTGGAGCGCTGACTCCTAGCCCTCGCTCGGCCTCCAAACTGTGTCGAAGCAGGTCCAGTGTCGACTCTGCGGCTGCGGACGGAACGTGATACGGATATATACGGCCCGTACAGCGCTCAAAGACACGCTCAGTTGATATCCACAACATTGTTTGCGCTTGATGGGTGCGAGTGTAACGTGGCTCATGCATTGAGTTTCGTGCTTACCTATAGCAATGGGAAATGTGGCGAATTAGGCCATGTTCAAAATTAGTATATTGTATTTACCCTGTCAATAGTGAAGGCAAGGGACATAGAACATGCACGTTGCAAACAGGTGCAAATTCTACAGAATATGCTCCATTGGTATTTTACTCAGCGTTTTTGCCAAACTAAACTGCAGTTTGAAATAGCATTGCACTATGCGAGCACTGTTTTGCTCTGTGATCAGTGCTTCGAATTTCAAAACATGATGGAAACAACTTATCATCTTTCATCTCCATGCATGCTCCAATTTGCGCTGTGCATTCGACTGTCTTCAGTGATGTGTTCAGTGCGACCTGGCCATGCCGAGTTCAGTGCAACATTTAGGAACCAGACTCGAACTAGGCACTGACTGTCAGGGCGGTTTGGGAGGTCCGTCCCTGTGTCCTCTACCTCCCGCATCAGCATCCTCCGAAATGCCTCCTCGGCTGCAGGAAATGCGGTCAGGAGGTGAGCGAAAATTAGTTGCCAATTAGTTTTTGCCAGCGGAAGCAACAATTAGTTCATTTGTAGCGTTGTTAGTACAGGTCTTGTTACGGAACTTCGTTTTACAGCAAAGCTTCGTAAAATTTGTAAAAAAAAAACTTTGTTAACTTTGTTTTACAGCACTGCTTATTGGCAGCCATACCTGGTGGCTGGTACAATAGTATACTGGAGTGAAATTTGAAAAAGAAAATAGCAAGCTATTCGTAGTCCCAATGAGGGCAAATTATTCAACTATAATTCAAGGCAATGCACCTGTAGGTATAGGCAATTAATGGAGGCACGAGGGGTATTTTAACTACAATGATGAAGCTGATAAAGTATTGTGGTCGTTTCACGCGTCAGCTTTGGCTGGTATAGTTGCTATATTATGCATACCTGGTGCGGCGCAGGTGTCGCCGTCCGAGGAGGCCAGTTCGAGGCACCACTGATTAGTTTTGACACACTTTGACTTTGACGAGTCAGTGGTGCATTTCGCAGCACCACCGTCCCCATAAGGAGTTGCCATGGTAGCGGTCACGCTGCACCACACCAGTAACCAGCACTACGGCCGTACACCGGACACCAGAGCACCACAGTGCCGTCACCCGACACGCGATCACCGCCGGCGTCTGCACATCGCTCTCTGTCTGCAGCGCCGGCAGACAGAGGTACACCGCGCCGCTCCCCACACCGCTCTCTGTCTGCAGCGCCGGCAGTCAGAGGTACACCGCGCCGCTCCCCACACCCTCTCTGTCCAGCGCCGGCAGACAGAGGTACACCGCGCCGCTCCCCACACCGCTCTCTGTCTGCAGCGCCGGCAGACAGGTACACCGCGCCGCTCCCCACACCCTCTCTGTCCAGTGCCGGCAGACAGAGGTACACCGCGCCGCTCCCCACACCCTCTCTGTCCAGTGCCGGTGCCCTCTGACGGAGAGGGTTGGGCGCAGACAGAAATACCTTCTCTCGGCGCTCAGAAGGTGCGCGGCGGAAATAGATCGTCAGCTGGCGCCCCCCCCCCCCTCCTCCGGGGGGGGGGGCGCTGCCTCTATTGCACGGTCACTACCAGCGGCGGGCGGAGATCCGAATGGCGTGGTCTGATGCATGTTAACCCGCGCTCCAGTGGCGGTCTCAGCCAACTTCGCCCTAGTGGGGGGGGGGGGGCATATGTTACCACCCACCTCTAACTCAAAAACTATGATCGCTAGAAAGACGCGGTAAAAAGCAGTCGATAGCTCTCAATGCGTACGTTTGAAAGTATTTCAGTCATTTTTCATCTTAGAGCAATATTGGGGTCACCAGAGGTCATCAAAGGTCAAAATTTGCCAATTATCATTATATTTTTCAGAAAACATTCCGTTATCTCAGGAACTATGGTAGCTAAAAAAACGCATGGAATAGCAATCGATAGCTTTTGAACTCTTCTTTTGATAAGGTCATTATTAAAATTAACCTCTGCTCAACGGTTTAGCCTCCAGAGGGCAAAAACTCCAAAAATAGCTGTTTTTTACGAAAAGTGTTTTTCGACAATAACTTTCTACTAATAAATGTCACGACTTTTGTATTGCCAGAATCGTGTTCCTCTCGCCGAGACGCGTCGAATTTTTTTTAAATAAATTTAGTCCGAATCTTTTGATGGGAAGGATTCACAAGGACAGAGCCACCGCTAAGCGAAGCTTGTTGCGTTGACCCTGCCCTCTACCCTCCGATCGCGCAATTCCAGTTCTATGGCAGAATTTAGAGTCCAAAGTTTAACGTGCGCACATAGCCGCGCACGGCCGGTCCCCTCACTGACTTCACCTGGCTACGGCCTGCCACCAACCGCAACCATACCTGTCAGGAGGCCCATAAATGTCAAGCGCCCGTCGCGCTTCGAACCCGGACTGTTGTAACCGGGAACGCGTGCTCTCACCACGCGGAGTCCAACGCTCTACCAACTGAGCTACGGGACCGGCGATGACCTATAATTTGACCTTGAAAGGTCAACTTAAAAATTTGACCTCAGGTCAAGGTCATGACCTGACCAGAAAAGGTCATGTTGCATATCAGTCGATGCGTCTCAACAAGATCAACACAATGAGACCATCCCCAGCGTTCTATCTCTTTCCAATCGCGAGTTATTGGCAAAAATATGTTTGTAGCCTCAAATGACCTCGGATGACCTTTCTAGAGGCTATCAGCAAAAATGACACCTTGGTCATCACGGGTGGTCCAAATAATTGTGATTCTGAAATATTTGGACTGTTCCTATGCGTACACACGGATCTAGAGGCATTTTCATTTTTCTTCATTGACTTGTAATGGAAAGGTCACGCCACTGACCTGACCTTAGGTCACGGATATAAAAGTCCGAGATATACAAATTGTAGGCGCCCATAACAGCATGCAATCCAACAAGTTTCAAACCTTTCTGACAAACACTGCAGGCTGGACATGATTGCAAACTTTTTTTTAGGCTTGGTCAGTTAACTTGACCTGGTGACCTGACCTGACATGACCTGGGGTCAAAAATTTCAAAAATTGTCCAAAATTGATGTACCAAAAGTTACCCCAAGCGGCGCGGCGCTACGCGCCGCGGTTTTTATTCACACGCAAAAAACGCGACAGGGTGGTAACATATGCCCCCCCCCCCCCACTGCACTGGGGCGAAGGTTAAAAAAATGTCAGTAATCGAAACTGGTTAGGTTTGGTTTCATTTACGACTGCAAGGTGTTTGGAAGTAGGTAAACTAGTAATGTCAATTATGGAAAATCGGAATACCGATACCAAACCAAATACCAACCAAAGCCACGGGGAAATACCGAAACCAAACCAACTTGGGAACATGAGGGAAATACCAACTTTTTACCGATTTCTTAACCTTTTATACATTACTGTGGGTTCATGAAACCAACAAAATACCATCCATATTACGATTTAAATACCAAATACCAAGTTGGTATCGGTTTGGTATCGGTATACCAAAAAGTTGGTATTCGATTGACATCTCTAAAGAAAACGCGTTATTCTGATTAGCCATAATACCCAGTAGGCGTCAATGTAGGCGTCGATGTCCCAATGGTGCCTGACCAGCACACACGGTGCTACCCCTGATGGCCTATTACACCTGAACGTAAAAAACAGCTCGGTCGCTCCGACCCCGGGGAAATTATTATAAAGTAAACGACACATAACAATAACACGATGTTTTTGCAGACAGAAAACTGCTAATTACACTACGGCTCCCTTGCATTGAGTCAGACAAAAATAACATGTGAAAATTTATCATTAACCCTCGCCCGCACATGCCATTTTCCCATCCTAGAACGCACATGGGGGGGGGGGGTTGCCACCCCCCCCCGCGCCATTTCGTTCCTGTTGGAGATAAAGCTTAGCAGTAAAGACCAAAAAGATTCTTTGGGAAGAGACGAATCCAATGATACCCAGTTTTACCTTCTCAGGTCAGTCATTGACCTTCCAGGTCAGGTCAAACTAAAAAATGTTGCTGTTTTGGGTCACCGTTGGATATCAAGTGTGCTGCGTATCAAATACCGATGACGATGCTGTTTTCTGGTGCCAAGCCAGCTAGAACCTCTTTGTCGCACTACCCGACCAAAATTTTGCTGCTGAGGTCATTTCAGGTCAAGTTAGGTCAAGGTCAATTATATGTGTTTGTATGTCTGTGTGTGTCTGTGTGTATACTGATGTGTGCACCGATTGTTTTTGGGTCCATATTGCATGAAATCATGATCTGAGAAGCTTTTACCAAAATGCAGTCAAAAAACTTAGAAAAAAGTAAATTCAGCTTGCCTAAAACGCAATTATCTTAGATGACCTAGGTTGACCTTGACCCTGACCTTGACCCCTGGGGCATTCCACGATAGATCGTACCAGGCCCGTCACCCTCATCTCTCAGATTTCAATGAAAATCGGTCCTAGGGGTAATCATAGGCCCCAAAGACGCCTGGCAAAATATCAGACTTCTCAGATCAAAACTTTTTGAGTTATATTGCATTACATTTTTTAACTTCGGTTTGTAACGGTGAGTTTGATGGCCTATAACTCAAGAACGGGTTATGCAACCAACAAACGGGAAACAACACTAAGCTTGCGATGAACCAAAAATTGATATTACTTTTTAAAAATTCTAAAGAAAAATTTTGATTGTTGAACAAAAACCTTAATCTTTTTTCATTTGCCTCTAATGACTTTTGGGACCAAAATTTTTCACATTTTTATTTTTTCAAAATAAACTTCATGTCATTGCAAATCGACATGCAAAAAATTAGAAAGGTGTTCTTTCTATAAGTTCCTCATTTTCCCGCAAACAAAATGGGTTTCGGAGGGGTTGATACGACCCCAGCACGCCGTTTTGCTTCTAATAGAGGTAGAGCCTCGCGGAAAAAACGAACGTGTGTGCCGTTACAAGTCGCAGCGATTGGTACCCAATTTTAAGGTCTCAGGTCAACCGGTAGCGTCTGAGGTCAGGTCAAGTGACTGAAGTTACGGGTTCGGTTTTTAGTAAATAACTTCGCAAAAAATTGCCGCAGAGCCGCGATTTTGGCATCATTGTGTTCGCCTAGCTCAGGTGCGTCGAATGGTATACTTTTTGTTAGGGTGAGGTCAACTTAAGTAGTTGACCTCGGGTCAAGGTCAGGTCAGAGCCCCTCAGGTCACGAAGCTGGGCAAAGGGCATAGCTGGGCTGGGCTGGGCATATGGCATATCATTTGATTCGGAAGGTCTTCCCGAGTCCATTGGTGGCTTTTCCGACTCTCTAGCTCAATTTGATCGGGAGTTATTGACGAAAAACTCGTACGACCCTAGTGACGTCATAAATGACGTCACGCAGGGTTAACAATGCAAAAGTGAAGCATTGGACTTTGCAAGGAGTGCATGAAATCACGATACCATGTACGTGAGATAGTTTTAGATCATTATCGGCGCCAAAATAACAGATTTTATATTTCCCCATTGACTTATAACAGTGATGTCACGTGACTCATGTGACCTTCAAAAATTCCCAGATATATAAGTTGTGAGACCTCTGGAGGACACCATGTATGCGTCCTGTAACTTTTATCTCGGACAGCTATGGTCATTGGCGTCCAAAACAATGTCAGAACCAAGCAGCCTTTTTCACGCTCGCGCTTATAGGAAAGAGGGTTGGATGAACCCTCTTTTCATTTTTTCAGATGACTAAGACTTCAATTGAAATTTCAGTAACCCGTGATGTCACTAGGCAGCTTTACCACGCCATTTGTAAGCTCCCGTCCCAAAATCACTATTCGAAACCGTTATCGTGACGTAAAATAAATACATTTATAGAAAGAACACCTTCCTAATTTTTTGCACACTTCTTAACAATGAGCTAAATATTTTTTTAAAGAAATAAAAATTCAAAAAAATTTGGTCCCAAAGTCCAAGAAATACAAATGAAAGAAAACTCGATGTCATATATCAAAAATAGCGTATTTTTCGAAATTTCCAAAATACATATTAATCTCTGTTTCATTGCAAGTTCAATGTTATCTAACATTTGGCATTTGAATCTTAGTCTTAGAGTTACAGCCCGCCAAACTTAGCGCTGCAAAGCAAGACCCAAAAAATGTTATACGCCATAACTCAAAAAATACTTATCTGATAAGCCTGAAATTGTTACAGGTAGATTCAGAGCCCCTGATTACCCCTGAGACCAATTTTCGTCAAATTCCGAGAGATGAGGGTGTCAAATTGGAAAAAAGTGGTACGATCTATCGTGGAATGCCCCCCCTGTACATCGTCGAACAACATGTTCCATGATAGGTGGGAGGTAAGACTGGCAAAAAAGGCCGAAATCAGGGTGTCAAAAGCTCATAAGGCCCATGGCAAACGCAAGATGTTGAGAATTGGCCATTTGGGTCATGACATGACCTGAAAAGCAAGGTCATATCTCCGAAACCAAAAT